TTTGAAGATGCTCCAGTAATCATTCTTGCAGAGATCTAACCAGCATTTTTTCAATGAGATATCCATATTGAAATTGATTGTTAGGATGTTAGCAAATGTAAAGAAACATGACAGAGGTTTAATGCCACCTTTAGTGTGTAAAATTGAGTGTAAATGTCAAGAGAGGAAGTTATCTGATTTTGCTGTGTATACCAGTGATTTATGTCATTAACAAATGCTTAATCCTACTCAGACCATATGAGATGAATATTAATGGGAGTTAAAACAAGGCCTGTGTGTCAGTGAAGCTCTGTGCCAAACCCTCAGATCCTGGGTCTGATGGTTGTCCGAAAGATGCTGGACATGGTCTTCTCCCAGCATGACCTGGCCTGGCTGGACGACCTCCTTCCTGAGAAAGAGAAGAAGAAGAAGGAAGACGCTAAGAAGAAGGGGAAGGAGAAGGATAAGAAGAAGCCCAAAGCAGACGACAGCGAGGAGGAGGTGAGAAACTTGAGCTTCTGCTGCCCCCTGCAGGAATGATGGGTCTTGACACAAGTTTCTGATGATCTGTGTCTGTGCGTGAATGTGTGTGTGTGTGTGTGTGTGTGTGTGTGTGTGTGTGTGTGTGTGTGTGTGTGTGTGTGTTTACTTGCAGGACAAGTCCCACCCGTACTCCAACCACTCACCCAGCTCTGAGTCAGACTTGGATCGCAGGTATTGTGTCCTCAAACTGCACATCCCCTACAAAGATCTCGTCTACCCTGATGTTGTACAGTCTCAGTGGGGAGCGTACTGCCAGGCTGCTGCCACACACAGCGCTCTTTAACAGACACACTCATCCTCTATTACACAGTCATAGATAGGTACCTATTGTGTATCCTACGTGCATGGGAATATTTTGATCATACACAATAAATGTATTCAAATTAAAGGGTCAGTTCAAAGAAATTACAAAAAGAAGCTATATTTTCTCCCTTATCTCTAGTGGTACCTACTGAAACACTGAGATATTTTTATCAGTCAACCAGCTCAGGTGGAATAAATTATATGAATGTAGAATATGTGTAGATATTTAACGTCTAGGCTCTGACTTCATCACAAACACCAAGCAGGGAGTAGATGTTTTTTTTCCCCTGGGAGCCTGCATGTCGATACTGGGGTTGATGGGACAGCTTTCAAGTGAGCAGTGTGGCAGCAGGCATAGCAGTAAGAGAGTGAGCAGACAATTGATAGTTTAAAAACACTGCCATGACTAAAAGGAGGCTTTAAATCACTGGTTCCGAACCTGGAGCTCCTGACCCTCAGTAGTTGTTTCCAACGCTTCACAGGGCTTTGTGAGGTCTTCTTCATTTTAAGGAGTGTAAGTAAACATTAGGTACTGCATCTCAGATTTTAATTCACTTTTATGAAGAAAACTAAATTAAATGATCATTATTATTATTTTTTAAAATGTAGATTATTATTTGAGAAGAATGCGAGATACATTCACAGAGCCTTCACTCTTCCTTAAATCACTGTAATGCAATATTCACAGGAAATAATTTGTATCCAAATCACTAATACACCAACTTCCTGCAGTTATTGTGTTCACTATTTGGGTTCATTGTACAGTTTATCGGTTGTTCTGTTTGTTATTGTTACATTGAATATAATTAGAAATATTCATAAAATAAGTCACTTAGTTGGGGGTCATCAGTTTATTCAGCAATTGAAAATGGGTCCCTTTACTATAAAAAGTTGGGAAGTTTAGATATATGCTGCAGAGAGAAGAGTATGCCATGTGAGTGTAGCAGCAGCCTAGAGGCTGTTATACTATATAATCCACAGAAGACATACTTTAAAAAACATACTGGAACTAATAGAAGTTAGTTAGTAAACTGTAGACAGTGAGGTCTGTGACTTCTCAAGACCAACTACATTTAAGCTTATGGGAAAAAGTATTGTAGAGCCCCTGTGCATTAGGTGACAGACACCACTGCACCATGTCAAAGTAGCTTCAAAGCCCAGCACGGTACGGGCCTGTACAGCAGCGGTACAGCAGTGGATTCTCCAGGCGGGCGCAGGGTGAACAGCTACACCTCCACTGTAATGTAGTGGTAGCAGCAGTCTATAAGACAGATATTAAAAACCTTTGCAACTACATCTCAAACTTTCAGCATGGTTAGATACCACTACATGTAAGTTGTAATATGGTTTTTGTAATTTGGGTGAATTGGCCCTTTAAAAATATGGCCAAAACTACATCAAAAGCCTCAAACAGAACAATTGCACACAAACTTGAACTAAACTGTTAGTTCAATACCTGTCATATACTGGGGTATACACAGTAGCATGAAAGTAGTCCATAAAAGCCCTTATTTAGTCGTGGTGCTGCATTGCATTATATTTTGGTGCTTTTAATATAGTTCCCTGTGAAAAAACAACCTATTAGCTCAGATGTGTACTGTGTTGTTTTCAACTAAATAATGTATTGCTGTATTACATGCTCTCTAACAAGAAAATGCCCTTCTTTTTTATTCCTTCCTTTGTTCATTTTTCGATTTTCCGAATAAATGTAAATTATAAACATGGTCACTTTTGTGGGTGGACATGTGCATCCACATACAAATTATTCATACCTAACATTGTCCTCATAGTCCAGTTTCCTCACGTTTGGGCTCCTCTCCATGCACTTTAAGGCAATGCAGATGATTGTAATGTTATTAACTGTATAATCCTGCTGCTACTCTTCCTGTGTCATGTGCCAAGTGTCTCACAGTATGTGCATTGCGCTACCATTTGTACATACAACTCATTATATATATATATATATTATATTGTAATTCTTCATTGATGTGTGTTGTTAGATTTGAAATATTCTAAAAGGCAGTGACTGGCTGATGAGCTGAAATGCATGCTGTATAGTTTGCTCTGTGTCTCAAAGCCACTGGTCAGGATTTGTTAGAATAAATATGTGAAATTGAAATAGATAATGTGTTTTCAATATTAAATCTGTTGCATATAGAGGATTTATTGCAGGCCAGTTCGTGTCCAACTGTATAATCATCCACATGCAACAAGCATCATTGTTTTGGTTGTTTCTTTTTCCTCCATGTGCTGAATCTCTTTAGCAAATCTGCGATGCTCACCCCTGCATGTGAACTGTAGCCTGACCCTGGCTTTTTGCTCTCTAAACTACCCTCACCTGGAGCCGCAGCAGTCTCAGCGGAAACGTTAGCATTTCAAGTGCAGCTGATGAGGCTATTTGTGCTAACCTGCTCAATGCGCTAAGCATTTAACCACAAATACTTTGTTTGACTGTGTTTTTTTTTCCTTTGTGGGAGATTAAGAATTTCAAAATTGCCCATCATGTCTGCATTGCTTTGAAAGAGGCATGGTTTGGAATGGACTTGATTAATATGAATTTGTTTTCCGGGATGTTGCCAACTGTGGATGTAGCTCAAGAAAATTACACTTTTTATTGAAAGCTTTATGCCTGCCTTGAATGCATTTCCATCACCAACCCTTCCAAACCCATTACTTGTTCAACAAATGACTGAATGCAAAACCTTATCTGGAAGCTCTATTTTACCAAACTCTACTGGCTTAAAGAGTGCAAAAGTTGGTTGCTGATTTGCATTAGTATACATAAAAACTCTCATTGGATGTCAAAACAAAACTGTAGTTTAATTTGTGAACTATTAAAATATATGATATGATATTGAGTTCAATTAAATGTAGTCATTAATGTAAAGGCAATACACTTTCACTTTCCTATTACCACTACTTAAGTTGCATTTAAACACAGTTCATATGGCACTGAAATGCACTTCCTGCTCCACTACTAACATACTGTCAGACAAGTATAGAAAATGTGGCTGGGTCTTGGGGTGAAGGTTTTCAAAGGGCCACAACAAACCGATTCTCATGTTCATGGTATAAAACCTTTCCCGGCCTCAAAGTACTCTCTCCCAGTCTTAGCCATGAGGCGTTATGGCCACAGACAACCACTACAGTCCCTTCTCTCTTGCTCATCACTGACACGAGCTGCTGTAGTGTTTGGCTGGGGTCATGATGGGCCGCATGGCTGAGCTCCTCCACCCTGCCTGGCCTCCTCCCTCAGCCCTCAGTGTTTTTGGCCGTGGGTGTGTATGGTAACTGGAGCTTGCCCTTCCTCAGCATCACCCTCCACCTGAAGATCTCCTGCCCGTCGTCTCCGGCCATGCCAATGGGCCGAGGGATGGCCTGCCCCGTGCCCCAGGTCAAGATCGAGATGGAGTCGGACTACGACTCAGACATCGACCACCACCGCCCTCGGGACATGAGCAGTGAGACCACCTTATAAGGCGGAGGCTCAACGTCTTGTTGACAGGACACGACTATGTGTGGGCAAGCTACTCGATGCAGCCAGTGCTGACCCACGGACAGTACAAGGTGGCACAGACAGACTGACAGCTGTGAACAAACTGACACCTTACCAGACTGGCTGAAATGGGACCGATCCAATCAGTGCCACTGGAGAAGCATCTGCTTTAACACTGGTGCATTTTTGACAGGTTTTGCTTTGAATAATATATTAAAAACTAAATTTATTTATTTACATGTATGATGTAAATAGCCATAATAAGAGAGGAAATATTTATCTGTATGTGCTGTATAGGATAATATATTTGATGTGAAAATATTTATCTTAATACATACTTACTATATATTGAAACTGTGCTAATTACTCCAAATCCAAACTAATCTTGAAATCAGTATAACGTCAGAACTTATTGTACAATAATTCCACATCAGCAGTGTGAATGTGAAAACAGGCACCGTGTTAGTAAGAGAACCATTTGCCATGAGGTTGTAAAGTCTACTGTACAAAGCCATGCCTTCTACTGTACGTTAGCCTTTGTATATTTGTGTTTTGGTGTTTGTTTGAATATGTGCCACTGATCCCAGAGAACCACTCTCCTTTCCCCGTTTCCCTCCACTTCAACACTCCATATTGGCACATTAACCTGGAACAAAAAGAAACAACCAAAAAGTCCTGATGTTGTTGAAAGGGATCGATTTATTGTGCAGGCTGTATCGGACAGGTTTATATTTGTTTTTACTCGCAAAGACTCTGTATGAGAGCATAATTAACCTCCACCACAACACTACGTGCATATGACAATAGCAAGAGATGCACACACAATGGATATTCATAAACTGACAGATATAATTTATGTAATTAAAATTCCATTATTCCAAATGATGTGGCCTGTCTTGTGTTGAACATCATGATATTTTGTATCTATAGCATAGCTGAGACATCTGTGACTTGGTCAATTCAAAAGTTAAATACACATCATCACAAATGTGTATTCCATTCTTCCTGATCCAAAAAACAGTCAACATGGTTGGTCAATAGGAAGCCAGATTACAGTCAGCCAGTCAAACATGAGAAAAACAAGCATGTTATCCTGGCAGAGGAGTGGTTAATATTAGCAACGCTGACATGGATTTATGAGCAGACAGATATCAACCATCACTGACAGATAAACAATTACGGGGAAGATGCTGTACTGGATGTATTAACAGGGATGCACTGATCTGATACACTATAGCTTCTGGGGCCAAAACTGATCTTAGAAAGTGGATCAGGTGTCTGCCAGATGTGACCGCTCCACGATGTCACTGTAAAGTTAAAGGTGCCCTGTGGTGTCTGCTGGTTTACATTTACTTACGTTCAGTGTTTCTTACCGAAATCCACGGTGTGTCCCCCTGAGGTCGGAGACATGTTGAGTTTATTTCCATCCTCATTACTCATTTGCAAAGCAGAATTTTGGAATATTTTAAATCATGCATTCTTTAAATGGCCGCAAAATGTGAAGTGTACCTAATGACTGTGCCAAAAATTGTGATGCGATTGGTTTCACATGCTTGATTCCTATTTCTGTTTCCTGTGAGAATCATTGTGTGTGTGTGTGTGTGTGTGTGTGTGTGTGTGTGTGAGCGTGCGTGAGTAAAAACAAAACAGGGACCCACTCCTACAAATATTGTTCTATGGTGCTACTAGTGGTAAAAAATTCCACAGGGTACCTTTAAATATTCCCACTTTATTCACTGACTGAATGCTACAGCAATCCCTGGCCTCATGTTAGCGTCCCATCCCAATTCATTTCACAAAGAGAGACTTTAGAGCCTTTACAGACGGTACTCAGTGTTAGAGGAGAGCCTGACTTTGTAGTCAGAGTAGTGTTTCCATCAGTTTTTAAACACACATTATCTCTAATTCCTCTTTGGCACAAACACAGTACAATCACACTGTCTATTAAAGAGGCTTCACCGGTCTGTGTTTATATTACTGGACTCACATTGAAGTTATAAATATACCGATCACATAATGGGACACCACTGCATGTCTGAAACGCAGAATTATAGTATCATTACATTATTATTAATAGTACAAATAATAAATATTCATCATTCCAATTTGGAATACATAATCATTGTTAATTCAATTAAATTGCTTTCTACAGTCTATTCAACCATATCACCTGACAGAAAATCTATATTGGAAGAACCTAAATCATTTTCAAAATAAATTGAAATAATTCGGTCACCTGGGGGGGCCAAAGTCACAAATTTCAAATCCTACTCGCACACAGTGTCTTCATCACGTCAGCACACACGAAGCGTTGAGTGGTGCATCGGGGTGTTTGGTGAACCCGTCAGCAAAGCCCTCCCCTTCCACCAGCGTCGGCCTCTTGTTGCACATGGGGCACAGTTTGTTCCGTTCCCGGGAGGCTCTCATCCAGATGATGAGGTTCCAGCGCTGGCCGGAGGAGATGGGCAGGGCCCCGTGCATGTGCTGGCCCCGGTGGAGGAGGCCCTCGGTCACCCTGTGTTCAACCTCTGAACACTCCGTCTCACTTAAAGGCACCTGCAGGAGGCAACACATGGTTAAACATTTTTGTTTGGAAATGATATCAACATCAAAGTCTTTTCACAATTCTAATTTATTCATAACATTAAGTGGTTTCACGTTTCTAATCGGAGGCAATTACAGTATTTCTAAAATCTCTATCTGTCAGCTGGCTTTCTTATCTTAAAAATGAAGGACATTATTTGGAACAACTAATATTATACTGGTGGTTGTAGGTGTAGTAACAGTAGTGATAACGGTAGCAGTAGATATTCACCTGTTTCATGTCACCAAAATAAAGGTTTCCCTCAGTGAAGTCCTTGCCCAGCGACACATTGAGGGTGACCTCTGCGTTGTCGTAGTGGTAGCTCAGGTCCACGTCTTCATTCATGTCATATTTCACAACAAAGGCCTTGTGGCTGTCCAGACAGCGCCCCCCACAGTCCGGGTACAGCAGGGAGGTGAGCGAGTGCAGGTAGTGCTCACGGAGGGCGGTGATGAAGCCCTCGTCGAAGCCCAGTTCGTTCAGGAGGATCTGGAAGAGAGAGAGAGAACGAGAAGCATATGGTGAATAAAAGGTGACGTAACACTGATGTTTAATTCCCTGACCTTACAAATAAATATGTAAGCCAGAGCTCTTCATGGCTTTTACGTCTCCCTAATTTAAGGTTTCAGCTGAAGGGCTCCATCTTGGCTAACGACCATGTAGTGCAATGAATTTTTAAAGACATACAATGCATGTTGCTGTGAAATGACCCCTGAATTCTCATTATAGTGCCTGCATGCACATGCCTGGAATACGCCTCTCATATGTCATGAGTGATGGGACTAAGGATCCAAATGTCATGGCACAATAAAGATGATTTATATATATATATATATATATATATATATATATATATATAAAGTAAAGCCATTACCCCATAATGGTTCATGGTGTTGGGTCTTCCTTTAGGGGCGGATGACTGCTCGAAGTGCTCAAGCTCCTCCACCAGCTCCTCACAGAAGCTCTTCTCAAACACTGGGAAGCGATACACCCTTGCCGCTTCAACAGGGGGATGGGAGTTAATTTAATTAGAAGATGCTCCATGTAGCACTTTTACACATCAATATATTGTACAAACGTGTATAGTGGTTATCCATTACTTGTAAAACAAAAATTCCATTTGCAGCTGAGCTGTGTATTTTTTCAGACGGCTGTTTATGTTCTTCTCTCTTTGTGTACAAGAAGCTGTGTGTGTGTGTGTGTGTGTGTGTGTGTGTGTGTGTGTGTGTGTCACATGTTTGAACAAGGGGGTAGGGCTGAGAGATGTTATGTGTAAGATTAATGACTGGGACATGTCACAAATCTTGTACTGCATGTTTTGTGTGTGTGAAGGTATTAATGTTTAATGTTAGCCTGACACCGACCTAAGATAGACTACTATCCTATATATTAAGGTATTATTATGTTTGTTGGTAAGAGACTGCAACAAAAACCTCATGGGGAAAAGTGAACCTCAAAAGCATGACATTAAAGCTGCAGTAGGTAACTTTTATAAAAATAACTTTTGTCATATTTGCTGAAACTTTCACTATATCCAGACAGTAGAACATGAGACAGATAATCTGTGTACAAATCCGGTTCCTGTGGCTCCTCCTAGTGCTCTTAATGGTATTTGCAAGAATCCACTGTATCTAAATGAAAACAACCAATCAGAGCAGAGAAAGATAAGGTACTCTTTGATTTCACCACGAACTTGGACCACCGGTATGAAATGAAAGCATTTTCCAGCTCACCTGCCTCTTCCTCCAACAAGTCTGAGAGCCCCTCTTCACTGGCGCCGGGGCTGCGACAGTACTCAACAATCTGCTTGAACTTTGGCGCGAGGTAGGACTCCTGAGGAGAGGCGTCGTGTCTCAGTAATGTGTTATTGACACATTAATACTGACGCTATCAGCAGTGGCGGACGCAGTAAATACCTGCAAGCGGTAGACGTGAGGATGGAGGGGATGGTACACGTCTTTTATAGCAGCAGCTCTCTCAGCGGACGCCACACCAAGGCGCCTTCGCCTGTCCACTTCCTGTGAAATCTAATCAGAGTAGTTATCCAGTTAAGTTAGGCTACTGCAGATATTAAGGTGAGTTTCCTCATAATCACACTCTCATAGCACTCCCATATTATAAATTAAGATATTCATCATTTGTCAGGAGGTTTCCTCTGCCATTTTGGCTCTATTCTCTACGGGGACGCCTCTTTCTCTGGAGGAACAGGAAGTTCTCCATGATGAAACCGACTAGACATATTTATAAAACGTACTTTTTGTTGTATTCACTGACACTTTCACAATATGCTGACAGTAGAACAGATAATCTGTGAAAAACAATCAGGTTCCTCTGGCTCCTCCTAGTGGTCCTAATGGTATTTACAAGAATCCACCGGCCGAATGAAAACAACCAATCAGAGCACAGGAAGATGAAAAGATGCTTTTGGTTGGAGGCTTGAAGATAGTTGCATCAATATCTGACAACCTGGGAATGAGACTCGACAATCAACTATCTTTCTTGGCTCTGATTGGTTGTTTTCGTTTCTTACAAATGCCATTAGGAGCACTAGGAGAACCCGTAGATTATGTGTCTCATGTTCTACTGTCAGCATATAGAGAAAGTTTCACCAAACATAACTAAACGTTTAAAAAAAGAATAATAATAATAAAAAAACAACTACTGAAGCTTTAATGGCATACCGACTGAATGCACATATCTGGACTAGGGGGTCAACCTTTACCTGTTGTTGGTTTTGTTCTTATATACACACACACACACACACACACACACAGACTTTACCTTGTTAAGCACATCCTCAAACTGCTGCTCCGTCACGCAACCGAGCCTCCTGAGCAGCTGCGTAGCGATAATGAACATACAACAGAGTTTACAAAGCGGCCATGTCACTCCCAAGAGTTCTTCTTTTTTAAATCTAACTTCTATCTACTCACTGTTTGATAGTCCAGTCTGAACTGCTGCTCCGACACGAAGCGGACATGGAGCTTGTAGTCCTTCAGGAAAATGTTATCAGTTGTGAAACAGTCGCAGAAATAAAACTGAGGATTTCCGCCTTCCTCGTTTGACATCACTACTCGTTTAAAAGAAATGACTTCAATAAAACACGCAGTGAACCGCAGTAATATCAGCCATTAACTGCGAAAGCTACACGGCTACTTCTTGGTTAGCAGCAACAAACATAACACTTCCGGTTCGAAGTCTTCAAAATAAAAGTGTCCCCCCTTACGAAACCTAAATTGACAACAAATTCAGAGAAAGTATAAACATGGCCACAAAATCCAACTATATTTAATACATTTCAGACATTTTCTGGCTGTGATTGTAAGGACAGACAGAGACGTAAAGTAAGGGGAATCTGGCCCGTAGTCAAAACTAAAAGTTATTTGCCAACCACCAAGGAGAGACTGCCCTCCAGTGGTGTCAGAGTGTAACTACACTGTAGTAGCATAGTACCATCTGAAGCATCTTAACAGTTCCTTTCCTGTGTCTCTTTATGTGTTTTTTGTTCTACTACGGATACTTGTACTGGCCGATGTAGTTACACATCGTGACCACAAGAGGGCAGAAACGCATCATTATAAAGTAACGTTGGACACTAATACATGTAGGTGGAAAAACATAAATGTAGTAGTTAAAGCTGTTTTATTCCGTTACCAGGTAAAGTTTTGACATTTATTAAAAATGTAAAGTTGTATTTACTCATTGTGACCACTTGAGGGCTATGTACAGTAAAGAGTAGAAGGAAAACTTTCATATGTTAAAAGTTATATATACTGTCAATCGCAAAACACAGTGCCATACTAACGCTTCCGGTCAACACATTCAAAATAAAAGTTTCAAACTAGACAAAGGACCTTTCTTTTTTCACAGCACTAATTTTGAAGGAAATAATAGGGTAAAGTCAGGTCTTACCAATAATACCAGTTAAGGCTCTGTTTTCCATTTAGTGTAACAGAACCTTTCCAGTAAGCCAACGTACACAATTTACTCGGTTTGACCTGAATGCAATGGAAGTTTAATTAGTCATTAATAATTAACACATGTGTTTACCCTACTATTTAATATCCAAATGGCTGCTGTGAAAAGGGTCTATTGCCCTTTTATTTTTTAAAGCAGGGCTGAGAGGAAGTACCGCTCGTTGTCAACAAGGGGGCGCTAATACAAAAGAACTGGATACCAACCGCATAAATACTAAAGTAGAAGAAGAGAAAGGAGCCAAGCACACGCTGGGTGTCTTCGTCCTGTTGTGATGTTGTTGTTGTGATGTTGTTGTGGAATATGTGTCTCCGTGCTAGCTGCTAGCTGCTAAATATGCCGACTGACAACCAGCACATTAGTGTTTACTGAGGCGCCGTCCGTTGTGCTCATTCGTTAGCGGAAATGTTAAGCGTGGAGTCGCTGCAAGTGGCTGAGGAGGAGGTGGTTGAATCCAGCTCCAATAAACTCGGTGACATTTACAATTTCGTGGCTAAAGGCTGTTTTCCTCAGACGGTGAATCCTTTACGAAAGAAGAATCTCAAAAGATACGCCCAGAAGTTTATCATTGATGGTAAGGCTTTTTTAAAACCTTCATTTAAAGGGGACAACCACTCAGAATGCATCGCTTTCCTCTAGCTCCGCTAAACGTCTGTTGGCACCACGAACCTCCATTCAAAAAAACATCAAATTTAAAATGACCAAAAGTGTGTATCTTGTAGGACATAACATAAGATATAATACGAATCTATAGAAGTCTGCAGATAATTCGGCTCTCTAACTGAGTGTTTAACTATAACCAGCACTGTGTTTTCAAGTGTATCTCAACCTCTGAAACTGGCTGTAGGTGCTTGCTGATAAAGTTATAAATGACTGTGTGCTCCTTTGCACTTCTTATCTAAGCTGACATTGTCTGGAGGTGGTGTTTGGTAGATAGTGTTCGCTAAACTGAGGCGTGGACCTCAACTGCTTCCATCAGGGCCCAGTAATGTTGATGTGTTCTCAATCCCTTACAGCAACAATAAGTACCATTTTTCTGAATGAAGTATGGTGTGCCGTTCTCTCTGTACGCCACACGTATTCAGCAACTTCTTATTCAGAATACCAAAGGTGTGTCAAAGCATGCCCCCCCCCCTTCCTCATTCATATCTTCATTTAAGAGGGCAAGCTGTACTATGTGGGACCCAAGAAGGAAGAGAAGAGGGAGGTGGTCATCGAGGCTGACAGGAAGAGGCAGATTTTTCTCGACTGCCACTTTAATGACATCGGCCATCACCTGGGCCAAAAGAAGACCGTCCAAAGGATCCAGAGCAAATACTACTGGCTGGGCATCATCAAGGACGTGGTGGATTGGGTACACGCATTTGAATGTCTGTTTTCTGTTATCATCACTGGGACATAAGGATAATACTGTCTAACCTTCATCATAACTGTTTGTTTCAGATAAAAGTGTGCGAGACCTGTCAGCTCACAGAGAGGAATAAAAACCTGGCAAGGATTGTCCGGCCTATAAAAGTGGATGCACCTTGGGATATTGTTGGGGTTGACATTATAGGTTATTGCCTCAGTTAATGTCATCAAATGATTTTTATTTTTCAGCTTTTTCATTTCCTTCCTCACTTTAAGACCTCCTTTCTCTTCTTCTCTTGTGTTCTCCAGGACCTTTCCCAGAGACCCAGCAAGGCAATACCAGCCTTATAGTCCTCATTGATTACTTTAGTAAATGGCCAGAAGCTTTTCCGGTGCAGAAGACTGATGCCCTCTCTGTTGCGAGATGTATTTCGAAATGCATATACAGGTAAAAACATTTCACTAAATCTGAGTTTGAAACAAGGGTTTTATCAATATAATCTATTGATGTAATTTGCCAGATCATTTATTGTTTTTGACTCTAAATAATTGAATTTAATTCATGCCACTATTTGCCTCCAAATGTTATTGAAAGACCACCATTGGCATGCTGGAATTTTATTCTGACCCATGTTAAGACCAACAAAATGAGAACATTTTAACCTGAAACTGAACTAATTCTGCTCTCTCTTTGATCAGGTTTGGTGCCCCTAAAACAGTAGTGTGTACACAGAATACTGACTTCTGTGATGAGGTGAGACATGAGTTGCAAAGTGTATTCAAATTGAAAGTATGAGAGATGGGATAGCGCTGCTGTGGGTGAGTTTTATCAGTGCCGTGCTGGTGTCTTCCAGGTGACGAAGCTGCTGTGCAACAAGTGGAGCATCGTGCAGAAGGTTTCTGCTCTGGACCAACCTCAGCTCAACCCGCTCCACGACTGCACGAGTCCTTTACTGAAGGAAGCTGTGGTGCAGATGGTAACGGAGAAGCAGGCTGCATGGGACGACTTCCTGGACCCTGTGCTGTTTCTGTTCAGGACGTCCGTGAGCCCCACGACCAAGTTCACCCCTTATTCCCTCATGTTCAACAGGAAAGCTAATTTACCAAATGAGGTCCGGACTCTGTCATTGTCAAGAAAATATCCTAACTGTGTAGTTTGTTTCTGCTTACTTATTTTCTTCCCTTCCCTCCAGACTACACTGAGCGTGCTGAATTATGACAACCAAGAGCAAGATATGTATTCCTCAAAGGAGAAGGCCTCGACATATATGACCATAATGCAGGAGCAGCAGAACTCTGTGAAGCAGCTGGTAATTCACATTGTTTTTTCTTGCACTGTCACAGTGGATGCTGGTGGTGGAACTTGTTTGTCACATGACACTGCTCTGTGGGGGTATTAGGGGGGTACCTCTTGAAAGAAGTATTTATTCATTTTTTTTAGTTTATAACCACTTGAAAATAAGAATGTATCAGTACTGGTGCTCCAGTGAAGGAAAGTCGCCACAGACACAAGCTTTAAAAACTCTACAGTACATTCTCTCCTGTTGAATGTAACCTTCATTTATATGTAAAAGTCCCACACTCAAGCTTTAAAGGCCCAAATTCATGTCGTTGTTGTTTTGTCATATATGTTTTGTCATATATGTTATCAAACAGTTGCCCATATATACATCAGGCAGAATTGGGGTCATATTTCTGGTCAACTGATGGATACAAGTCCAATTTTCACACCCATTTTAGCTCTGTTTTGGTCTCTGGCTCATTGGCTGGTGAATGCTACGCTATGTTCTCCGACTTGTCGATTGACTTTGTCTGTCTGTTAGGTGCTGGAGAGGAGGTACAGTTTTTTTGTCGAAACTGAAAACAGCTGTTAGCTTGTGGGTAGGGGTGGGCGATATGGTCAAAAATAATATTGTTATTTTGGCGATAACGATAATCAGTCGATATCCTTTAAAATGTGATTGGAATTGTCTGAGTTTGGGCTTGTGTCCACCAAACGCGTTTTTAGTGCTGAGAGCGCTCAAAAACTCATTTTCCGAGCGCCCAGCGGTGTTAGAAGTTGAACAGATTTCAACTTGAAGTGCTCTGAGTACTGCTAAACTGTTGCAAGGAGGATGCTTGCGAGAGGTCATGTGATCACGTCATGTAATCACGTAGGCCCACTAGTCGTGTGACTGAATCCTGCCATGCTGTAGAGAGTGTTGCTGCACCGTGTATTAAGTGGATGTGAGGAGTTTCCACGTGCGTTTCAATAATGATAATAATAATAAAAAATAATAGTTTCAACAATGACGATATTATCGCAAACGATATATACCGCCCACCTCTACTCGTGGGCCAGAATACCACAACATCGAGCTTAAAAAACTGTAGAACTGAGGCGGTTCTGCAGTGTTTGCTAATAACACTTTGTGGGTTCATCACCCTAAACGACACCTTTCACATTACACATAAATAATTTTATTCTTTGTCGATATGAATAAAATATTAAGTGCAGCTTTAAAAGTTTTTGTTAATTTACTGATTGACCACAGCTGATAGTGTCATTTGTGAATCAACCAATATAAAGGGCTATAATCGTTGAAAAGAATGAGTTAGCCTGAAATAGTATTGTCCCTGCAAAGCCTCTGAATTCTTTCTTCTGATTGGCCCAAACTGTGCCTGTTTCATGATGCATCATGTATGTTTTTTTTTATGTCCTCCAGACATGGTACATAATGTGTATCATGACATGTCAGACATGATGTTGTCATGTTTTATGCACCATTGTTGTAAACGCAGGTTGTTACATGAAACTTGATTCTTACGCCTCAGGTTCTTGTCACAGACACTCTGTATTAATTATTTAAAGGCAGAGCGAGAGCAGCAGTGATTGATCGAGCTAGAGGGCGAATGAAGAGAGGCAGCACCGTTGGCAAAAACAAAGCAGTGAATCAGAGAAATAAAACGTTATTTTCTGATTGTTTCACCGTAGTTACGTTCTAAAGCACAAACAAAAACACAGCCACACCTCCGCACAACCCTGTGGGAAGGAGACACATTGCCGGATTTTGTGGGAATGCACTCGGAGCCACACAGGGCAGGGTCTCTTTTACATCCCTTCTGTTTTGTCTAAATGTGTGTGTTCCACTTCCAGGTGATAACCAATATGAACGCAGCCTACAAACAAGAGAAGAAGAAGAACGCCAAACGGAAGTCACATAACATGCCCTCGATGACCTTCAAAAACGCAGATCCTCTGTTTGGCGAAGGAGACTCGCCCTCCCCGAAAAAACTGAAAGAGAGTTTATATTTGTCTTTTCCTGTTGAGACGGTGCTGGCCACCGAGCAGAGCAGCTCAGAGGACATAAAGACCGAGTTAGCGTTTCACTTAGCCGAGTCTGACGTCCACTGAGGAGGACCGTGTGAAAAGACTGCAGAGGAGACACATCAGTGGAGCTAACTGAAGACTTTGAGAGAAAAGTAGGAAATCCAGACTTTGGTGAAAGGAGCGTGATCAGCTGATGAGTTAATGTTTCTGAATCTCACACTTCCAAACAGCATCAAATGGCCAAAGAAATGGCAGTACAAATCAAACCCACGTGAATTGTTGAACCTTTTCCCTACAAAAAAAAAAAAACATTGTTTCCCTTGAAAATGATGTTAACTTATTTGTTTTTCACTTTGTCGTACAATAGATTTTTAAGCTATAATTTAAAATAAAGGTATTGTTTCGTTTTTATATTCATTACATGATGGGAAGTGAGGTATTGCTCGTGAGTATTTCTAAGTGTCATTAAGAGGAGTCTCTTTAAAAAATGGATACATACCAGTACATACCAGTATAGACAAATTGAGTCTATATATTGCGTAGTGATTTATATTTGTGGACAAACCTTTGCACATTGTAGAAACTAAACACCAAAAGTTTTAACAAGCTAATACATTTAGAATATACCTAGAATTTGTTAAATAAATGATTAAGAGGCATTTGCAATAATGGAGTTTCCAAATGTTTGTTAAAATAGCTTCTTTAGTTAGATTTTAGTTGATCCATCCTCAATATAAAAATACTTGCAGCCTTGATATGCCCTTTAGGTCAAATAAAATACATACTACAGATATAAATCAGAAATAATGTAAATATCACTTGTATGCAGTACTTTTAGACACCGTTCATAAATTAGCTGTTGTAGGAACTTAAAATATTATTTTTAGCATCCTTTAATGAAACTATCATAAGAAATATAACTTTGATCCACTATTATAACAGGTTTAAAACAATTCTAGTTTATTTGAGTCACTTTGACTAGAAGTCCTCTCATTACACTGTGGGGATCACTGGCCAATTCAACATAATTGTGTCATTTTTAACCCGCAGCTCTTGAACACTCACTAAAATACCTGGTGGGAGGAGCCACGTGACGTTCACTTCCGCAACAACTGAGGTCAGAGAGGTAGAACAAAACATGGGGGGCGAGGTATCACTTTGGATCCTTTCCGTGCTTTTAAACAATTTCGGAGTGCGGCTCTTGAATTGTGGGAGACTGTATGGCTGTTTGAATGGGTCCGGGGCCGCAGAGAGACACGAGAGCTTGCTGACTTTAATTCAGTTATCGACCAGGTACTTTAATAAGACTCATTTACACTACAGCACAGACTAACATATCGAGTAGATACATTTAAGTCCAAAAAAGATGTGGCCATATCAAATTATGATACCTGTCGCTGTTTTCAGATACCTGCAAAGTCTGAATCCTCTTTAACATAGACGATCTTCGATACCGGTGTCCACTTCAGTCAATGCCGCTTCATTCCCTCAAACCTAACTTACCTCAGTTAGACGTGGGCGAGGTCTATTACCAAGTACCATATTTGCACTACTGTATAATTTATTATGAATAGAGTGAGACTACAGTAATTTAATGAATGTTCCCGCGGACACCTGGCTGGATTTAATAACATGGAAGACTTTGAAACCTGACGCAACAACACAGCTCACCACCTGCTAATAGCTAACTTAGGTAGGTTAGCAATGTATAACGTAGTGGAAAGTACTTAGACTGATGTTGCAACCGGATGCAACCTTGCTGGACAATCATACAGTGCGGGGACAGCCTATAAGTTACTGTTTAGTAGGGCCACCTCATATTTCCCCTTGTAGCTACGAGCCGCAGAAGACAGGAAGTAACTTCCTTCAAAATAAAAGTAAGTGTAAAGAAATAACTAAAATATTTGGTGGTCATTTCTGCTAAATTCTGAGTCATCTTAAAATATTTATAATCTTGTATCTGAATATAAATACGTTTTACCTGTGACAGTTTAACACTGTTACTTGGAATAACTCTGTGTATCTCTGTCCTGATAATCAGCATGGGCATCAAAGTAGCTGTGAGCTGCACTGTGTTGTACATCCTACTGGATGTGGTTGTCACCACCGTCCTATACACACACGGATCGCAGGTGAGCATATTTAAAAAGGATGCCCTCAACTTTAACATCCTCCAGTCAGCGTTGGACGTCTGGGGGACTGTCCTGCTCAGAGTCTCCCTCCTGCTGGGAGCCTCCATAGGGGTGTTGTGGAATAGAGAAGACGGTCCACCGAGGGTCGCTAAGCTCACCACCCTCATTCTCTTCATCTGTCTGATCATCATCACCTTCACCCTGACCAAGCTGCTGATGCTGTCCGAGCTGGGGCCTTTGAGCCACCAGCCCTGGATCCTGAGCTTGATATGTTGGACTTGTGCCTCCTCTCTGGGTGTCATGCTGCTCTGGTGGCTGCTGGGGAAGGAGTCCATCTCTCCGAGCAGTCATAACAGCAGCAGCAGCGGAGGTGGAAGGGGCTCTGAAGACACTGAAAAGCTGGTGGAGGCAGCTGGTGAGGAGGAGGACGAGCAGGAGGTTGGGTGTGAGAGAAAGAAGAGGAAGGAGGAGGGAAGCCAGGAGAAGGAGACCGGCTCTGGGGCAACACTGGGGCGTCTCCTGACCTACTGCAAAAAGGATGGTGGAGTGCTGTCTGTAGCCATCCTCTTTCTCCTCATCTCTGCTGTGTGTGAGTGTCCTTGACATAGTAATAAACCAGTCTGACACTGTTTATCCTTCGTGTTACAAAGGATTGCAACACTCATGTGAAAGGGTCTTTTTATGGCTATTGTATTTACAGTGTGTAGGTTATGACACCAGATTACACAACACTTTTAGCCTCGATCTCATGAAAAGCAACTAAGTGAAACAGTGTTAGGTTCATTTTTAAGAAATACAAGGATCTTATTTTCCTTATTTTATACCATGGACACCAACAAAAATAAAGAATTAGAGATAGGAGCAGAATTAGAAGGACCATATACAGGGTGTCTATGCTGTCTGTGTTTGCTGTAACAACTACAAAACAAAACCTACAGGAAACCAACACATATTTTCCTTCATATCCTTTGTACTTTTTTACAGTTATACTTGTCAGTATAGATGTAAAATAGCTCTTAAATTGCATTCATAATGGTCTAAAGAGACCTTAAAAGTTTTAAATTTAACCAGTTGAAGCCTGCGCAATCCCTCCTATAGCACCTTGAAGATGCAGTACATTTATGTAAGTTTTTCAGGTCGTAGTAAAGACCCTCTTAACAGGCACTATTCTGCCAATTACTTTCTCAATTAATTATTTGGTCAATTAAATATCAGAAAATGAAGAACAACGTCCATCAAAATATCCCAGAGCCTGAGGGGACCTTTCAAGAATTGTATTGTTTTCTTTGACTTACAGTCCTAAACTCAAAGGTATTTAGTTTATTGTCACATAAGACAAAGACAAGCAACAAACCCTGAGAACTGAGAAGCTGGAATCAGAGAATCTTAAAATTACCAAAACAATTGATTAACAAAACAGTTGACAATTAATTTTTTATTGATCAACTAACTGATAAATTGATTTATTATTTCAGCTCAGCTCTTCATGTAATTTTACTCTATTTCTGAAGTTATTTTGTAAACAAATGTTTCATTATTGTCCACACTTTCACTAAGGATCTTAATCATTGATGACATTCATTACACATATGAAAAGTCCAGTTCGACTAAGACCCAAAAGTATGTGCACAGCCCTTACGTTCTGGTTCTCTCTCTCTCTTTTACCTGCAGGTGAGGCCTTCATTCCTTACTACTACGGGAAAGCCATAGACAGCATTGTGGTTCACCAGAGCATGGAGTACTTTGCTAAGCCTGTGATCATGGTGTCAGTACTGGCCTTAGCCAGGTGAGTACCTCCAGGTGGTCTTCTGGTGGTGAAACCAGCGGTGAGGGTGGGTGTATGGGTTGGGCGTATAACATGAGCATTTGTTTATATGAAGTGTTGCTAACTAGGACTGTAAGGTTTTTTTTGTTGTTTTTTTTTATTATAATGTTTGGACATATTTCCCTTGTTGGACAGTTCACGGAGATGGATGCAATCAGGAAAGAAATAGTGATGCCATAATGAGATATGACAAAGCTAGGACGTCACATGTGCAAAACCAAAAAATGCTTTAAATGCTTTACCTTTATCCCCTCACTCCTCAGCTCACTCGCGATGGGAGTACGCGGGGGAGTCTTCACCCTAACGTTTGCGAGATTAAACCTCCGGCTCAGGAACCATCTCTTCAGAACTCTGATGAGGCAGGAAATTGCCTTTTTTGATGAAAACCATACAGGTCATACAGGAACACTGTACATCCATCCCTCCATCTGTATTATTGATGTCTCCCCCTGTGTGTGGGTCTTCAACAGACAAACAGTCCTTCTGATGTTATGACATGCCTATATCACCCTGTAGGTGACATCATTTCGCGTCTGTCGGCTGACACCACCCAGGTGAGTGACCTCATCTCCCAGAATGTCAATATCTTCCTGCGGAGCACCATCAAGGGCGCCGGCTTCTTCATCTTCATGTTTGGGATGTCCTGGAAGCTCACCCTGGTGACCGTCATGGGATTCCCTTTCATCGCCCTCGTCTCTAACCTTTATGGCGAATACTACAAGGTACAGTAGTTTAGTGTCTGTGCTGATCATTTAAATTTATGTATACAAGATTTAGAACGTTAATAAAGCAGCAAACAATGGTCGCATTTGTCCCCATGGATTACGTTTCTGCCAGTGGCACCCATTGTGCCAAATATTTTCACAACTAACTCAATGAAATGTGGGTTTGTTTCGACCAAAACATAGTTGGTGATTATTGGTGAGTTTTACTTTGTTTCTGTCCAGTTTGAAGTGTATTTTACGACTTCCTGCAAGGTGAAATTACTGCTCTGGTGGGTTGTAGCACCCATTTGCTTTGGTCTGAGACGGGGTTCCAGCACCTCCTGAAAAACCTGAAAAATATCTGTTTTCCAGTCGTGGAAAGGCCTAGAAATTGATTAAAATGACCCAATATCCTGTATGTAATCTATGTAGTCCTGGGAAATCCTAATTGTAATTTAGCTCCTTGCAAAGATGGCCTACATAAACCTAGGTTTGAGGAAAACTGTAGTAAAATGTAGTCGAATACACCAGGACGTAAAGCATATGTCCCATAAATGCTGACCACCTGTAATGAACCTGCGTCACTTAAAACCCCCCCCTCACAAAACTAGGTCTATCTGTACATTTTATGACTGTTTGTGAGCAAGTGTTGTCCTGAATTGTCAAGAAAACTCCTGGTAAAGGTCCTGGAAAATGATTTCTTAAAAAGAGAGGGAACCCTATGAGATGCTGGTGCTCTAGTGCGACATCTAGTGGCAGTGCATTTCATATATAACCTTTTTATTTTGCAGAAAAAAAATTAATTCAGTTTTGTATCTTTCCCCAGAAATTAACCAAAGAGGTGCAAACAACCCTTGCGGAGGCCAATAAAGTAGCAGAAGAAACCATTTCAGCCATGAGGACAGTACGGAGCTTTGCCAACGAGCGCAGGGAGGCAGACTCCTACTACGGCAAGCTTTTGGTCATGTTCCAGCTCAACAAAAAACAAGCCCTGGCTTATGCTTGCTACATGTGGTCCAGTTGTGTGAGTATCAGCAGTCGCCCCATCAAGGGAGGATGTAAAGCTCTAAATTTGTAACAGCATGGGCATCAGTCGGGTTTGTGTGTGTTTTCAGATCTCAGAGCTCGCTTTAGAGGTTGCTATCCTGTACTATGGCGGCCACCTCGTAGTAACCAATCAGATGAGCAGTGGTGCCTTGATCTCTTTTTTCATTTACATGCTGGAATTGGGAGAGTGTCTTGAGGTACTTTATTTCATTTCTAATTTATTTCATTGTTTGTATATGAAAACACTCATCCCCTCAGTCACGTGTGGTTTGTCTTACAGAGTATAGCATCAGTATACACGGGCCTCATGCAGGGAGTTGGGGCTGCTGAGAAGGTTTTCGAGTACCTGGACAGGGAACCCAAACACCCTGCTGATGGCACAGAGGCTCCAGACACATGCACCGGCCTGGTTGAGTTTAAAGACATCACGTTTGCCTACCCTACACGCCCTGAGGCTGATATTCTCAAGGTTTGTTCTGAGGGATCATAAACTGTGTGCACCACTTTTTAAACTCCAAAACCGATCCGTTTGGCTCCAGGTAGCAGAGTCGTGGGTCAGGCCAGGTTTTACTCACTCAGATACCATTGATTACATTAGGTTAGACTGGTATATTGTATGTGTTTGCTAAAGAAATCCCTTCCTGAATTGGTGTGTTTTGTAGGGAGTGTCATTCACTCTGCGGCCCGGTGAGGTGACCGCCCTCGTGGGAACTTCAGGCAGCGGAAAGAGCTCCTGTGTGAGCCTGTTGGAAAACTTCTATCTTCCTCAGCAAGGCCAAGTGCTGCTGGATGGAAAGCCAGTGCACACCTTCCAGCATGACTACCTCCACTCCAAGGTCAGTCTACAATGTCAGTGATAACAGTTCAACATTTAGAAAAGGTCAGAACATATCCTTTAAAAGAATATGTCACTCAGTACTTTTCTTACTGAAGATGTTGATTTATAACAATAGGTCATAAATATGTTATTTCCTTTTTTAAACAGGGGCTAGTTCTCTTAAATTAACTGCAAAAGTTTGTTTTTAGCAAAAAAAATTTCATTTGTTGGGGACTATTTTCAGCCGTGGATTAATACACATTGAGTGCTCCAATCTTCCCATGTTACTTGTAATGAAGGAACATGTCAGCCAGTGACACGGTGTGGTTTTTAACAGTTTTTACAGAGGACGAAGGTATTTTGCACACTATACTTGTTACTGGGATCAGATCATTGTTGCTTAAGGTCTTTCAAACACAAAGCCATCTGTTTGTTATTTTGTTTCTGCAGGTCGCTCTGGTGGGCCAGGAGCCTGTGCTGTTTGCCCGGACGGTCGAGGAGAACATCACCTATGGCCTGACTGACACCCCAATGGAGGCTGTGACGCAGGCAGCCACCAAGGCTAATGCTCACGATTTTATCACCTCCCTCCCTAAAGGCTATGAGACGAGTAATTATTATATGTGTTCATTTCTAAGTCAGCATTGATGTATTAGTAATGAAAAAGGGAAATAAGCTGCCCAGTCAGTGATCATCATAATGGAAATAAACACTAGGAGATGATTGTCAGTATTAATGCAAGAGCAAGCATGACTTACCTAAGTCTGTTTGCTGTTAGCGTTAGATTGTAATGTGTTGCCTTGCCCCCATACCAGCACCCAATTATCCTTGAAATTAAACATTGTTCTCATCTCTCACCTCATCTCCCTGTTGTGCTTTAGTTTGAAATATTTAGTTTATTGGTGACAGGCTCAGGATTTTGGAATGACTGGAAAGATGCAGGCTTCCCATTGTCCCCTTGTTCAAGATAAAATAGGAAACCAATATAGGACTGTCCATTAGTGAGCTTGACAGCTTTTTCACGTCACTCGTGAGGATGTTCATGATTATCCTGATACTGAAAATCCACCACAGTAAACACTGTTTTTTCCACTCCATCCTTAGTTAACTCTTCCTTTTTGTTCCTAGGTGTTGGAGAAAAAGGCACCCAGTTGTCAGGGGGGCAGAAACAGAGGGTGGCCATTGCCAGAGCTCTGATCCGTAACCCTCGTGTCCTTATTCTGGATGAAGCCACCAGCGCCCTGGATGCAGAGAGTGAACACATCGTAAGTGAAAAGCTACATTTACTAAAGCCAAATGGAATCTCATATACAGGAGGCGTGCAAAAAAACCCACAGTTATCCACATAGCCCTGCGATAAATACTACATAAATGAACTTTTTAATATGACTCATCCCTCTGGTAGTTTTGTTAATCTCTGCTATATCTACTGCAGGTTCAGCAGGCTCTGAACAACATTATGCAGGAGCACACAGTGTTGGTGATCGCCCATCGGCTCAGCACGGTGGAGAAGGCCAACAACATCATCGTGATCGACAGGGGCCACGTAGCCGAGCAGGGTTCTCACAGTCAGTTGATGGCCAGCGGGGGGATTTACAGTAAACTGGTGCAGAGGCAGGTCCTAGGCATCGAGACAGGGGCGGAGGTCCTCAACCCGTCCGAAAAACTCAGCTGGAAGTCTGACGGTGGAAGGCAGCGGAGACGACAAAGCAGCAGCAGCGGCGGCAGTGACACTGAGTGCAACATGCGCTACTGAGAATGAACTGCAGTAGAAATGGAATTGGACTGCTGGATGTTTTTGTGGGTTTATGGCATTTTAGGATTTTTTGAAATTGAAACCATATGTACTGTATAAGTTATTTTGTGGAGATCACAGCTTCAGTAGTATCAAGTGTAACCGTTATCATGGAAAGAGGAGACAAAATCCTCAGAATTGACCTCAAAACACTTCTATCCATTATTAAGTGAAAAAAAAATAGTTGAATGTATCAAAAGACGGTCACTAGAATTATAACTTGAGGGGCCACCGTAATTATGTTTACTAGCAGGATTTAAGAATAGACAGCAACATGTTGCTGTTGATGAGCTTGTTTGTTTATTCTATACCTCATCATTGCAGTCTAGACAAATAAATGACTCTGTTAATGTCTTCCTCAGGATTGGTTTTTGCTTTTATATTGATTTTACAGTAGAAGATGTGGAACTTCTTTGTGTTTCATTTCAAGGCTGTTCACATATGTTATTTGTTATTCCTCAAGTAAGCACTGCAATGACTACAAAGAAGAGAACTGAATGCACTATAGAGATCTGCTGCTGTCTGTAGAGAGGACAAACCAATGAATGACACTACAGATACTTGATGTAATTGTGTAAATCACTGTAAGCAATAAACACATGCACTGAACAGTGTAAAAAATATACTGCATGTTGGCCTTTATGGAAGCAAACATGTTGGATTAACACCAAATGCTGCATTTAATGTCTCCTCGTAAACCCCCCTTTCAAATTTTACACGATGTACACAGATTGTGAAACTGGTAGTATTTTAAAAGGTGTTTTCTCTAGCAGCATATCTTTACCATTTGTCATTTTGTCATTGCATAATGCAGATAATGTCTACATTCTTTTAAACCAGAAGCTAGGTGTGAGGTGAGGATTCTTCAGGAGATGTTCTGGTTGCTATTAAGCTAAGCATTACTTTAAAGAAAAGATGGAACACCACAAACATTGTATACAAAATATACACGCATATGTATTTATATATTAGGGATATATATTAGGTCTCCATCACTGAGGCCGATGCAATACGTATCGCGATGCACTGCCAACGATGCCACACATTAAAGATACATATGAAGAAACTACTAATGGCATACGATATGATTCACCCTCAATGTGATGCAGTATGTGTTTAACACAATGAGATTCAATGCAGTACAGTGTGATGCATTGGTTATATTGATAAATAATAGGCATAGGGCCTCTACTAATAATTCAATAAAATAAATAATTCTGATTTTACCTATAAAATAATATATTTTATTATAATATTATTATAATATATAGCCCTGATATGTAGCCCAGAGTAAACATATATATGTTATTATAATGTTAAGAATTAACGTTAGCTGACAGAGTTGAATTCAGCCGGTGCAACATCTTGATTGTTGCTCACTTGACGCCCATTGTAGAGTTGACCGGTAATCGCAATATGTCCGACAGGCCGTGAAGGCAGCAGCGGGCCTGTGTCTGCTCTGACTACTTCCTGTAAGGGAAGCTCAGTCAGCTGTCACAATCTGAAAGGCGAGAAGAGGGATCACGGGCGAGGAGAAACACACAACAGGAGCTAAAATGTCTAGTTTTTCCAACAAGTTTAGCGCTTACACGATGACTCAACTCAACGAAATTCTGGAGGACGACGAAAAACTCACAAAAATGGTGCAGGAGATGGACGAGGTATGTTAAGCTATTCGCTTTTGTAGTTCAACGTTAGCCACTGACTCCTTTTCCTCGGTCACTGCTTTTTTTCTCCTCAACCCTTTGTTGTGCTTTCCCAACATACGCTCGGTACAGTCACGGAAATGGTTGCCTCGAATCACGTTCAGGATTTGACTGTAAATAAGTGCTGTCAACCGAACTTCAATGTTCCGAAACCTAAAATACACATACAAATCTGTAACCTTGGGACGGAGCAGGGGCAAGCATTGTCTCAAGTTTTAACACACGAGGGTTCCCAGTTTGCGACATTGTTACTCCAAAAACCTGTACTTCCCCAGACAACAGAAGCTCGTCTGTCTCCAACAGTAAGTAGGAACAAGAAAACATTTTAATATCCAGTCTAATGCTGAGTCACACACAAATGTAAGCAATGGCCTCGCTTCGACACTCTTCAGACAGGTCGACGTGCCAAACTCCACTCAAAAATGTGCCAATTTATGACTGTTGGCACAGAATGACACCGAGGAAAACAGTACTTAACACTGCTTATCTAAAATATAAATTATTAACCAGCCCAGTGTACAATTACAGCCATAACTAGTACTTATAACATTATAACAACAGAGACGTTATTCGCATCAGTTTATGTATAGTTGAATAAAGCTGTACGCTGAATTCACCAGAGTGCCTCATACATTCACAATAGGTCCAGAACAACATGAAGCTTGTATGTTAGGCAGTTGGTAAAGTAACATGAATTGACACTTTGAGAGTTGCTCTCTCCATACCGGCCAGTACCTGATGATGCTGGGACTCTGTGGCCTTGCTTCAGTAGCACAAGGACTCAGCAATTTCCATTGAATGTGTTCCTGCTTTGCACTCTATCAGAAGTTTACTGCTCTTGTCATGATAAGCAGCTGATAAGCCTCAATTTTTCCATACACGGAGCGATTAAAAGCCAAAGTCCCTAGAAAGGCTTTACCACGGACCTGAAATTTGCCATATCAAGAGGGAGTGCAAACAGAAACTGACAGATTTATTTTAAATACAGGATTATGCTGCTCCCTCCAAAATAGTCGTCTCCAGTGTGGGCTTTAATCTGTCCTGCTGCTGAATCCCCACCAGATCCCTGGTGTTTTTCCCACTGTACTCTTTTTTTATTTTTTTTTTTACTGTCAAGTGCAAACTCTTTCTTCCTCCCTTTCCGCCATACACCTAATCAGTAATTACAAACATTAAACACACACACACAGACGCAGGAATTTTCCCCGCCTGTCGTCATGGCGCTGTGGCTTTCACTGTGGCAGTCTAATTTAAGCTCATTTTTTGCGAATGAGTGAGGACTCGCCACCTAAAATGTAATGAAAGCCCCTCTTCTCAGACATGAGCGACGCTAAGCTTCCATATGTCAGCTCAAGCGCATCAGGTCCATTTCACCTCTAAAAAACAAGAAGAATACAGTGTGGTATTATTAGCTATGAGAATGAACGCTGTGCTGTGAGCCAGCCTTTTGTGTTTTCAATTCTGGTTTTGATCTCCACCCTGTCCGATCATCTCCATGGCTTCGTTTTGCTTTCCCGGTAGGTTACAGAGAGGGAGGGACTTGTTTACTGCAATGACACTGCAGTTGTTGACCTAAGTTAGTCATGAGATTATGGGAGCGATGAAAAGAGAATAAGCCAAGTAAAGACATGCCTGAGCTAAAGGTGGAACTGTCTGGGAAACTACACTGGATGTGAACAAAGGCAGTGGGTGTCATAAGGCGTTGAGTGAAACCCGAGAGTGCTGAGAAGTACTGAGTGTACAGCTGTAGTATGTAGACACAAACCTTCGCCTCAGATGTAGACATATGCTTAGCTGTAGGCGATTTGGGCCATCTTCTCATTTTGCAAAACACACTGAAGGCACACATGTGGTGCCTTTTGAATAATGCAAATTGTGCCGTCAGGAATTTGTTTGGATTCAGTGCATCCTGCTTTTTCACAAGCTGACCGTATCGTACCTGCAATCTGTACGTGTGTGTAATAGTAGGCTCTCTGTGGGTTGTTTTTTGAGGCAACCTCAGGCCAGTAGAGTAGAGTTGTCCCAATACCGATACCAGCATTGGAAATTCCTCCAATACTGCCTAAATTGCAGTATCGAGTATGTGTGACTGTGCGCCAAGCCGATACAATGTAATTTATTAAGCTTGAAACAGGACCCTGCTACTTCCCAATAGTCTCCCATCAGCCATTTTTCCCCCAGGATAGCAAATTCATGACCCACCCCTACTCTGACTCTGACAAAGTGTTTAACCTGAGCCAGGCCATACAACAATGATAGCAATCATACAGGACTAATAGTATACAGTTGTTAAAAAGTTCTCATATTCTTTTGTCTGTGTTTGTAAATTTTGTTTATGTGTGTGTTTAAAGGTGGTACATCTCAAGCGGTTATTCCATTAATACACATGTATCAGATCTGTTCCGGGCGATATGCAAAGTTCAGCTATCAGGAAGGAAAAAGTGACATGGTAACCGTCTCTAGCTGCAAGGCATGTTTTTAAAATCATAGCATGTCTTCAGCAGTAGTTTGATCAGCTACATTCTGAGTCCACGGAGTTAAAGCCAGTATGATCTTGATTTGTAAGTGACCCAGTTTTTCTAATGTTTCGGCTCATTTCAATTATTACTTTACATTTTGAAGAGAGTGTAAGTGTAAGACGAGCACTGTCTCTTGCCTTTGGCTTCTTATCTTTTTGAGGGCTTCACTAATCCACGAATGGGTTTGACAGAGCACGCATGCTGTAGCTCAAGTTCATTTGTACCCATTTTACAGATATAACGTGTTGGTGCATATGGGCATTACTCAAGGGCTATATTAGTTGGGGTAGAATTCAAACATTTACATGCTTCTCTAATGATATTAACTATATACCACTACCGATACTGGAGAGTTTGAGCCGATTCTTAAGTCGATATTTTGAGAGAAAGGAAGGGTGACACAAAACAGAGGGCCAAAGGTCGGACTCAAACCTATAGTTGCTGCAGCGAGGAGTCAGCCTTGGTACATGGGGCACCCAGCTCTACCAGGTGAGCTATCAGGGCTCCCCGTTTTAATTTAATTTGACTTTGACATAAAGACATAACTGGGACAAACCATGTAATGGTGACAATGTTTCTAAATTATAGACCTAATCAGACTAGTTTGGTATTTCTGTACTGAAATGTCTTGTTACTTTATCTGCTGACGTATACTGATATTTCTACAATAAGCTAGTATGGACAGATATTGGTCTGGCCAATTCATCTGTCTAGCACTAATATTAACATTTAGATTCTCTTCTAATAGAACTTGTGATGGTTTTGGTCGAGAGTGGGGACTCTCACTTTTCTAAGAGTTGTTTAGTATAGCCACTCTGACTTCCTGTGAGACGTGTTTAAGTGGCTGGTCTTTTTCTTTGTGAGTAGCGTATTACAGCCTCCTGTATCTAATCGCGGATTATTACACTAGCTCACCAAAATTCAGGTTTGTAGTCCAGCCAGACAAGCTTAACCTACATTTCCTGTGATTATTTCAGCCTGTATGGAGAGAGTGGAGCATTGGAGAGTATTTTTTCACCCAGCAAACAATTATGTGTTGGGTTTGACAGAACAAGCCTGCAGTTATGGATGCTATTTAAAGGTCCACTTCTCCTTCTAAATGAGCAAATCGGCTCTTGCTAAAGGAAGGCGGGTCACCTCAGGATATGATGGTGCAAAGTGTAGTGGTAATCGACATATTTAGCTGCTCTTCCTGCATGAAATGTTGTTTTCCTTCCATTCAGTCCAACCACCAAACAAGGCCTGCGTCAGTCACTTTTAGAAAATATTCCATAAGCACGACCTACGCTACAGTGTATTTTTAGAGTTTCTCCTACATTTCCTGGTTATATTTGCATACACAACATGTTGGTTGGATGTGTGAAATGAGTCATTTTAGAAGTAGGAGACATTTTTTCAATTCAATCCTCCAATGTTCTCACTGTAGCACCTGTCTTCATGGTGTCCGTAGTTTTACAATGCTTTAAAATGGAACCCTCATGAGGTCATCAGGTTATCTCGGTTTGGGCTTAAGATTTAAGATTTTTACAGAAAGCCTGAATTACAAACTGGAGGTGTGGGCTTTGAAAATTTGTGGTCATTTAGGAGGCAGGTGAAGTCTGAAAAAATGAAGCTATTGAGTTGCAACTATTTAATCATTTTCTCAATCAATTGATTAGTTGATTGGTCCATAAAATGTCGGTAAATGTTGAGAAACGTTTACTGTCACTGTTCACCAAAGCCCAGGGTGACTTCCTCAAATGTCTTGTTTTGTCCACAACCCAAATGTATTCGGTTCACTGTCACAGACGACTGAAGAAACCAGAAAATGTTCACATGTAAGATGGTGAAATCTTTGGACTTTTCGTTAGGTTTTTTAACAATTTGTTAACAAGTGAAACCAGATACAAATGAACTGTATATCGGAAGATCTACAGAGGAAGAATCTGCAACTACTTTCATATCAATTAAACGTCATTTTCAAGCAAAAGTAGAGAGGAAGTGCTGCTGCCATGGAAGAAGGCTTTGCAGCCATTTTTCAGCAGTCTGTTGACACATCTGTGGTTCTTTACAGCAAGTGGGCCATATCATAGCTACCAGAAATGTACATTATCTCAGTCAGACAGAATCACAACTCAAAGGCTGATGAGAAAGTTTCTTCCAAATTGGTTGCTCGTAATGACATGAATGCGACATTGATGATGGCTCCTCTCCATTTAGGTGTCGCAGTAAGCTAAGACAGTGGCTGTGTACAAAATTAATCCCTATATATTACACATGCCACTATATTCCTTATTCATTGAGTGTCCGAGTGTGAAAGATTCTCCAAACTCCACTGCTGCACCTACTGACTGTCTGAAGTATAAATGTACTGCTCTCTATACAGGCAACTACTGAGAGTCATATGGAAAATAGTGAATGACTAAGTGATTCTGTACACAGTGAGTGACTCAGGGTTACACAATAGCAGGATCCAGGTACTGGCACACCTGAATAGAATGCAGCCATGGTTAATATTATTAGATACACCTGTGGTTATCAGTCCTGAAAAGGGTCTATTGTTTAGTAACACAGTAGCCATTACAACTTGTTTTTTTAATATAATCAGATGGGTTTAACAAGGTTAAACAAATTGCTACTGCCAGTAATGAGCTGTTTTAAAGCCTAGTTTTCAAAAAATATTTCAACTTTCCCTAGTTTGGATTTCCTTTCTTTTAGTTTTTAAACCAGCATTTCATAATGACATATCACGTTGCTGAAATGAGATAATAACAGGTTGTAAAAGAAACAAAGTTTTCTTTTTTCTTGTTAAGAGAAGGTGCTGATTTTGAACATGATTTGTCTTTTCTAAATATGTGAAGGGGCTGGTGGGAGTTGTGTGAAAACTGGCAGATTAAGTGTGATGATTCATAGTTAATATTCACTGCAGTGAATCTGCACTAATTATAGAAAAAGACATCTTTCACACGGTTCAAATTTGAGTCCATTATGTAAGAGAGAATTCTTGTCTCTTCAGACTGTCTGTCATTAGTTGTGCATTGTTGGAAGTGCAAAGGTGATGCCTTGAAGACATTACTGACATTTTATTTTATTTTTTTGTAGATGCAGGAAGTCCAGCAGAGCAAGGAGATGACATTGGTGAACAACCGAACCCTGGCGGAGCAAAACCTCGCCCTGCAGCCCAGACTGGAGCACAAGAAAGAGCAGCTCACCAAGCGTTACAGCTGTCTTCAGGATAACTTTGAGTCCTATCAGCTTCGCAAGTCCACCCTAGGTACAGTAGCAGCATAGCTTTCACAAGATAGAGAAACATTTTTTACTAATTAGATCATCTCAGTGTCTTGAATTTTTCATGTTACCCAGTCCTTAAGAAATTTGAACCCACTCTTGAAGTCACTTAGAGCCTATTACATAAACAAATGCATGCTGGATGATCTTCAAACACAGCACACAGTATACACAGGGCACATTAACAGTTACAACCTATTTATTCTTTACTTTTGTTGGTCTCTGCAGGTTTTTGCATTATAATACATTGTTTACCAAAACACATATTGTTTAGCCCAGATATTAATACACTACCAGACAAATTGTTAATAACTGATCATATGCATAACAATTGAACTGTTAAAAAACAAAACATATCCATGTGTATTCAAATATGGAGTGAAATCAAATCATTTACAGTTTGAAATAATCTTTTGTTGTGCTTTCAGCCAAGAAGACAAGTTAGTGAAGCCTAAATAAGATTTGATATCGACAGTTGAGATAAAAACTGGAAACCCAAAGACAGGGTTGTGACATGCAACAAGGGTTCTGGGCCATGATCGAACCGGGGATGAAAAATATAAAATTTAACATAACATGAACAAATAATATAATATAAATATTATAATAAATATAAATATTATATACTATTATTTTAAATGGAAGCTGTACAGTGAAATAGATCACACTATTAGCCATCAAGAATATTTGCAATGTGAAAGATAAGTTTACTACGTAACATGTAGGGTGCGTTGGGGGTATAAGAGTAGTGTCAGCAGGGGGTCCTGGACCTTGTTGACCAGGACACCTTCGCACTTTTGATCTCCTAGACCTACTGGATGGTCCATTTAGCTAGAGTTGGTTTTGTAGTTTTAGTGTGTATATGTTGTATATGTACAATAATCCCCATAAGTCTTCAGGAAGAGATCAGCACAGTATGTTAGCAGCATTAACAGATTTCCACATTGAACTTATTGAATTGAATCGACTAATCATTTCAGCTCTACATCAAAGCCTTCAAAATGAAAACACTGATCATAAAGAGGCTTTAGGTGGCCGCAGTTATCTGCTTTTACTTTAAGAGCGATCCTTTCCATCCTGTCAATCACCGTCATAGGCAGCTGAGGTGTTATGTAATGTTTTTTTCCCCTCATTGTTTCTTCTTATTCTGCATGAACACGCACTGAAGAGACCTGTTTCACCAGTTCTCCTGTTTCCCATCAGAGGCTGCCGCAGCCCTTTTGACCGGAGGCCCTGTTGTCATGCAGCCGCAGGAGTCACTGTTAATGAACTCTGTTTGGGCTGAGCAAGTTCCACATCTGATTTACATCTCTGCTGTAGGATCTTACAAAGACTAAGAGGGCTGTATTATCCATCGCTGACACACCTTCACATGAAGTATCCTAGTGTGCGAGGAAGAGAGTGACGATACTTGTGACCTTGTTGACGCACTGGTTGCCAAGCAGCCCTCTCAAAATAGCATGCCAGCCATTCACTACTCTGCTATGCTGATAAAAGTTTGACTTTGCCTTCTTCCTCTGCAAGGCATGCAGACTGTAAAGGCCTGCTGCTGCCGTGTATTCAGTGAAGACAAAGGTTGTGCGACTGTTAAAGGCAATAACATTCTTTTCCTCACAATCTGAAGCAGTGTAGCATTCTAAGCCTGTCTCTCATACAGGATGCAGGTCTGTGGTTTTGTTTGTTGTCAGCAAGCGATGGCTTTTGTTAAATGTAGGTTACCCAGTGTCCCCATGCCCCCCCCTCGCCTTCTATGCACTAGCCGTCCTAGTTGTGGATTTTCTTGGAGCAGCTGGGGAGATACGGCGATGCTCAGAGCTAAGGGAATCACAGCAGTTTGACCCAGATGAAAGATCCGACGTACAGTAGCTTGCTGTGTTGTCGTTTGCAGCACAATTATACCACCAGCACCGCTCTCCCCCAACCTTTCTCCCGAGAGAATTGTCCTTCACTGTCCATAAGGCTCTGGAGGCCAAAATGGCAGGGCGGCCCCATCACTACCACCACCACCACCATCCACTGTCTCTGAGTACGTCAGGCCACAGTGGGGCATTGTGCTACCAGGCAAGCTGGTGTAAAACAGCCACAATTGGGTTAGGAGGGAGTTGTGGATGATGGGACAGGCAGGCAGGGAAGCTGGGAAGGCGGGAGAGAGAGAGAGAGAGAGAGAAAGGCAGCCAGGCTGGCCAAAACTTCCCCCCTCAGATTCACAGCAGAGGCCGACGTGGATTCATTTACTAAATGGCTGTCTCATGATCTCCAGGCCCAGACTGTGTGCTGGGCACTCGGCAGGCTCTTTGCTCAGCCAGAGAATCACAGCTTTGTGTGGAGCAGTGCTGCTGATACGCCTGAGAGTCTTGTTATGGGGGGAGAGAGAGTGAGACAGAAAGGCATGGGAGTTCACCCTGGAAAAAAGGCTGTGTCAAGAATGAAGCCTCTGTCTTTCAACGTTTTTCTATTGGATTTAAACTCTGCCAGTAAGATCTGGCAAACCAACGTGAAGTTTTGGTGTCCAGTGCCAACAATTCACAGATGACGATTTTGATTACCAGTAAATTGCACATTTTGGTCTGGCCAATTGTTGTTTCTGAAATCCCTTTTAAAACCATTTTCGTGGCTTATTATTTGCCACGGCCAAGCAGAGCAGAAATAATGCTACACATTGCATGAGTTCCTCTAATGTTTGGCCCCCACAGGTCAGCTTGCTGACACATTTAACAAGAAAAGTGGCTAAGCAGCTCTTTATGTAATGTTAATCATAAACCCTTTACCACTCATTGTTTCTGTTCTGTATGAAGCACAGACAGTCCATGTGCCATGATCTTGTTCCCATGGAGTCTGACAAGCTAAGCATTACAGTGGCAACTGTAGCTATTTTAACAAGCTTGTTAATAAGTGGTTACAGCATTCAGGCGTGCAGCCAGTGATTTTAACCTTGTCTAACTGCAAGAGTGCACTTGAGTATTTACAAGTAAAATTGCAGTTCAGTTATATTTTTATTTTCTTGCCTTTTTATCAGAAAGCGGTAATACTCATCAGATACATTGCATTCAGGACAGGAAATGGGCCTGGCCCTTATGGTCCGGGTGTGTCGTCGTCAGTGTTATTTGCAATGTGTGTCACTGACATTTTAACAGCGACTTCAAAGAGTTAAACTTAATTGAAGTGCATAGGAGAAGCTTGCTTGGCCAGGACGTCATCACACCTTTCACACACTAAACCACCATCACTCATTTACCCTTTTTAATCTTTAAAGGACCAGTTTGTAGGATTTAGTGGCATTAAGCAGTGTAATTGGAGACTACACTCCAAAACTCACCTCACCGTCCTGTTCCAAGCGTGTAGGAGAAACTATGGTGGTAGCAAAAACTTGTGAAAGGACCTGTCTAAAGCCAGTGTTTGATTTATCCGTTCTGGCCTAATGTGTAAACATGGCGTTCAATAATGAAAAGAATTGTTAGTTGTAGCCCTTAATGACATGACATTCCCATCAGCCTCAGTCATACTTTGTGTTTCGTGGGAAATGTCGGCATGTTAACGTGCTAAACTAGTCTAGTGAACATGGGAAACCTACTAAACATCAATATGTTAGCATGCTGATGTTAGCATTTATCTCAAGCACCAAGCACAGACTCACAGAGCTAAAGATATTTACCAATACTGTCACTGTCCAGCGCATAAATGAATCACCCTAGATCTTTGTCCATGCAAAGAAGGCAGCAGACAGTAGAACAGCATATCAGGTTGATCTGGAGTCTCTCCTGTAATTAGAGATCCACTATATTGTGTCTAGGGTTGGGTTATGAAGGTGAGCTGACAATGCAGTAATGGAGATCTGTAACTAGGGATGTGTCATTGGTCTTATTGCCACCGTGCGTGTATGCAATCCCAGCTCCCGTTGGTGTTGACTTTCAGTCCTGCTTAGGAACACAAACAAAACAGTCTTCATCCTTAGAGACTCCAAGTCAGTTTCAGTTGGCTCAGTGAGGCCTTGCAAGTTCACAGCAAACAGAGAGGCGTTATGGCTGTTTGGACGTGCCAGTCACAAGACGATGACTGGCAGATCTCACTTATCCCGCCACAGCTTTGTGTGACAGCCTCAATAAAATCTGTTATTATTAACACATTCATTCAACTGAGGGAATACTTTAGTTTGTTTTGGGTTTTTCATAATTTAGGCACACTTAATCCACAATACATCTGTGTTACTTTGAGCGCTGTGTTAACAGTACACCAGAGTCTTGTGACTCAAATGTGTTGAAAAGATCGTGTAAAGCAGGTGATGAATTGTAGTACTGTAATATCACAAATGTTGTTGTAGCTCTGGTTCATAAACACAGAGAGTAAAATTCCACTAGGTTTGGTATACGTATTATTATAATTGAGTTTCACATCAGCCAATATGTGTTCAGTGTGGGATCTTTCTATATTTATATGTATGGTGGATGGTATGGGCTGGCTTAGCTTCGACTGCACACTAAATACAGAATACACAGGTCCAGCAGAATAATAATATTTGTTCTGTTCCTCTGTCTTATTCAACAGACCACAAGTCAGGAAACACTTCCCTGGACATTTTGCTGGCGCTACTGCAGGCCGAGGGAGCCAAAATAGAAGAGGAGACAGAGGTAAGCATTATATTGCTCTTTTCATGGCTGACTGCATGTGTCCTTCAGTCAGTAATTCATATACCTGCTTTTCCAGTTGTTGATGTAAGGCTAAGGCTTCACTGTTCAAATCTAAGACTTCTGTAGGGGAACATGTGGGCAGCAGAATGACTAAATTAGAGGTCACAGTTTTTATTCCTGCAATAGCCACATGTCCTGTCCTAACCCTCTTTAAACTATCAGTCAAGTTGATCATTCAGAAATGCTTTACCTAGTGCTGCATTTATACCATAAATAAATAATACTAAGCCACTAACTGCATTTGTTGATGGACCCCAGTTAAATTCTGCCATCAACAACAGGGACATTATCACCAAAAAGAACCAGGGACCGATGCACAGAATACATAGTCTGACTTCTCAATTCGTTCTTGTGCTTGAGAATGTGTGTACTTTTAGAAACCCTCCTGGCCATGCTTACTAACACCCCCCCAGTGTTACACAGGTGTAATCGTATGTAGACCAATTCCTGAATTGCAGGCCCACAAACTCTATCAACCATTAAAACTTCGAAACTATTATTCTTTAAAATAGACATTCCATTTTTATTTTCCTTCGTTTCTCTGAGTGAAATAATGCCATGGATGCCTCTGTTTCACCTTGTTCTACACCGCTGAGCATCCATGGCCTCACAATAGAGATCCAGGGGATCTCTTAATGACATTCATCTGTAGTCAGTCTGCGTTAATAATGAAAGTTGCATTTTGGTACTATTAATTTAAATGGATTTAACAAAGGTAGGTGGAAACAATCAAAAAGCAAATTAGAAACAAATTGTAATCTGTAAATTTCATTCAAGTTTCTGTTTTGTGCACTGAAATTCTTTATTTAACCATCACATCTTCATCTCCAGATAAGCCACTTGCTGAAGTTTACAATAAAACAGTTTGGTTTAAATGAATTTCATTTCATAAAAAGTCGCAATATATCGCAAGAGTGAAAATGTAAAAATACTCTTTATGAACAGCAGATACTATTGACTTTGCTTGTTCAACATCCTACTTCACTCACGTCAGTAGCTGTATCAAGGGATAAAGACGTGGTGGCCGCAGGCAAAGACTTTGAAATTGAGGATGTACTATGGTGTTTAAAATCTGAGGTGTGAAAGCCTTTTTGCTTCCCCAAGTCAAAAAATTAAAAAGGTTATAAGATTGCATTGTTTTAAAAAGTGTTCAAGTTTGCCATTATACAGTGTTTGTAGCATCCAACATCACAGCCCTCAGTTTATGTTTACACACACACACACAGCAGTTTATGATTGTCTGGCTTTGTTTGTTTGTTTGTTTCTTGGAGACTATTTCTACCTTTTTATAAAAGTGTGTTGAAGAAGAGTCAGAAGGGACTCCTTCTTCTTGTCTCTCTAAAACTAAATCTCTTACTTCTGTTAACAGAATATGGCCGATTCGTTCCTGGATGGCGACATGACCCTGGATTCCTTCATCGATGCCTACCAGAGCAACAGGAAGCTGGCCCACTTGAGAAGGGTGAAGATCGAGAAGCTGCAGGAGATGGTGATGCAGGGACAGAGGCTCCCCCAGGCGTCGGTCCCTACCTCACGATCTCAGGATGTCTCTGCGGCACCCAGGACCTCGTCCTCCTCCCTCCTCACCGAGAGCAGCACCTCTTCCCCTGTCGCTCAGCCGAGGAGGAAACCCCCACCTCCTCCGTCCCAGCCAGCCCCAATTCTAAATTCAGCTCCAGCTCCAACCGCTGCTCCCCAGCCTCATGTCTTCTACTCAGCATCACCATACCCGCCAATTCCTCCCAGAACAGGCCAACCCTTCCCCAACGTCTCCTCTGGCTACCCCAACCACTTTCTATCTCAGTACCCCCCTGCTTTGCCTCAGAGGCCCTCACCCCGTATGGCCCCGCAGCCTGGCTTCATCATGCAGTAAATAAAAACAGCTGCCACTCGGAGGTCGCGGTGTGTGTGTCTTGGACTTTTCACTACTGGAACTCCTCTGGGAACATTTTTTCTATGTCGTCGGCCTTCTTGGATTACGACCAATCACAACGCAAGAAGGCCGACCTGCGCTGGCTGGTCTCGTCACATTCAGCTGAAGCAGACCTCCAATAATCTCTGTGGGTTGGCGCTCACCTCTCACTCCCATCAACACTCCCAACAAAAAAAACAAAAAACAAAAAAAAGACGAGATCGGCTTTGAGTCCCGTCATAGGAAGGACCCACTAGTGAAAAAGTGTCGGTCGCTGAGCTGGGACTTCATTTATTAGCACTTTCTGTCTCCTGGCAGCGCCCTCAGCTCTGCGTTCCCATTAGTTTTCAGTCTCTCGGCTCCTTTCAAACATGTTCCTCAAGCTTTTACAGAACACTAAAGTCACTGAAAAAAGGGTTTGATTAGTCATTTCCATCTGCAGCATACTAATTTACTGGTAATGTATATGCAAGTAAAAGAGAGACCCTAATTACTGTGCAGTTTTGATGAAAATATCATTTTTGAGAATATATTCAGGCGAAACTGCATCTATGCTGTGATTTTTTTTTTTTTTTAAATCTAAAAATACACAAGGTACATAAAAATATTTGAAATTTCAGCATCTTTTTAATGATATTGTACTAATGGAGTTATGTTAATAATAGCCAGGATAGACTGATTAACATGTAAACGAGGGCTATGGTTGGTGTATCTCTTCTTCAATATGTGGGTGTGTCTCAAGAGAGTCCAGACTTGCCTGGTTCAAGATGGCTGACTGTTGCGCTTGGTCCATTTCAGGGCAGAAGTCAAAAGGGAGTTGGAAGGAGAGGATTAGCAGCTGAGCTATTGTAACAAATGACGAGGCCTGTAGAGCCTCCTCTGAAATGAAGGATTTGTGTATAGCCATACAGTACACTCCTGGTGTGTGTTGTTTTCTGTGGGTTCCTGTTGTAATGCAACACTCCTTTATGATGTCCGTTGTCTTTAACACCCTCAGTAGGGATTGGAGATGATGCCAACAGTTCTTTGGATCTCATACGTATGATCCTGTTCAGTTATGTGTCACACTGAGCACCAAAGACTTCCCACATCACTCGGTGTTCAAACTTTTTTTTTTTTTTTTTTTACTGCTATCTCTTTTTTTTTTATGTAAGTGAAACATTTAGTGAGGTAGTGTACCATTGTTCCTGACATATCTGTTTGTCATGTTGAGCTGAAACACTCTTTTTGTAAACATGCAACCCAGATTTCTCTAAGATCAACTTGGCTTTGGGAGGAAACTTTTATCCTGGTGCGATAGAAATTCACGTTTTTTTCCTCCCGACTGCTGTCGCTGTGCACTGTTGAAGAGCCACGAGTGCCTACACTTGAAGTGACGTTGATCACGTCCTGCTGACTACTCCATGTTTCTCTATGCTCAGCTGTAGAGGTTAGAATCGCCCCCGCCCTCCCCATCCCTTCAAATAAAAAAATAAATGGCCAAGCATTTGGTTTCCTCCTCCTGCTGCTGATTTCATGTTCTACAAGATAGTAAAAAAAGGCAGCGTCGGGCTGTGCTTTCTCACTAGAAGCAGAAGGCCAGAATGGAGCGATACTCAACATGTGCCAGAGAGATAAGAGACACCCTCCGGCTGTGTGCCTACTGGTGCTTGTACTTCTCTTCCATTCTTCCTCCGTTGTATTGAGGTTTGCCTGGGTTGAATTGTCGAGATTTATGCATGTGTTGTTGTTGCTGGGTTTTTTGTTTTTGTTTCAATTTGTGAAATAACAGGGCTCTGAAATGTTTTGTGTCATATCTTGGTGATAATACTTCAACCTCAAGGCAAAGATGTGAACCACAGAATGGATAAAATATACTTTACTAGAGAAATAGCAGAGGCATCAGCGTCTCAATCAACCAGCATTTCTAACAACTAACATTGGATAATTCTTTTTGTGCATGGCCTTCGCTCTTTGTGTTCATTCTGAAGATTCTTCTTTAATACATTCTTTTTTAGCTGTTGAGCTGCTTTTTACGTTTGAACTCATCCTCTGTATCCATTGTTTTATATGTGACTGGTGATATTTTCAGTGTAATGTTGTAGGTATTTACTTATAATGAATGTTTAAGTGGAATTTAATGCTATTTTCAAGTTCAATAAATCTCAAATTTTTGTATCCGTTTCTATCCAGATGCTTTATTATTACACTGAACACAACTGACTTCTCACAAGTCCACAAATGGCTTATGCAGTTATGTGTCTCAGAAGAAGAGACTGCAGTATGTTTTTGAAAATGAAACAAGACAGCCACCTAGTGTTCTTGGATGGGTAATGAATCCAGTTTCACAGAGGTGTGAAAGATCATTGGCCAGCATTAATAATGTGAAGAGAAATACATCGCCTAATACAGATATATCTATAGAAATATTTCTCTACTCTATTTCTATCCAATATTAACAATAACAAATCACTGGTATGATTAGTGTTTATTGCAAAAACTGTCAAAGGTATAACATTGCCAGCGTTTTTAGTACTACATACTGTATATACTTCAGAAATGGAACAGAGGGCCAAGTACTTAAGAAACTGGTTAATGAGCAGTTCTCCTGTGTGTTAAAAGAAATTACTCCTCACACTCTCAAATTCATATTTTAGATATATATTTGTAATGTAGAAGTTATGTCACTCACTCTGTGTTACACACTGGTTGTCTACTGGGATGTGACTTATTTTATTACACTACATCAGTGTAGTGCAATAACTGTAAAACGGCTTGTGGTTTTGAATGCAGCACTCCTTCAGTAACGTTGCGTTCAAGTCCCATTAAAGGGCGGAAGACGGAGTTTTTACAATGGGGTAAAAAAAACAATGCTGATGTCACAGTTTAAGTCCTATGAATTATATATATACATTTGAAATAAACAATAAATAGCATCTTCTAAATAAATGTTCCAAGTCAGTATTTCATTGTTTTAGGGGAAAAGACTTTAAAGGCACTTCCGAGTCACGCCCACTCGACCAGGGCCTTGTTTCAGAATGGGCGTGTCTGCTTGTGTTTTGTTTTGTGGAGAAGTAAACAAGCTTCAGGCGGAGTCACTTCTTGATTATTGTCCATTTTAATTGAATCTGTCAAATTGAATCGCATCGAGTTGAACAAAGAGTTTGTGCTCGAACTTTTTGTGAATCAGGAACATTTATGAAACGTTCAAATGCAGACAGGAAAGATAACAATACAAAAAAAAACCAATAAAAGCTAAAGACTACATAGAACATTGCAGAGAATATTAACACAACTGACACAGCACCTGCTTTAGACGCTTTCACTCCAGTGCAGCAACATTTCAAACACTTTTACCACCGTTTATGTTCCGTAATGTGCGGGCAGCAGCAAAGGAAACAGCCAGTCACTTCGACAGAGAGCTCCTGTGTTTTTAACGCACCCCTAAACCACGTGTTACGTTTCCATAGTCACGTCACATCGGCTCCACCATGTTGTAGGAAATCCACCGCTGCTCCTCACTCACTGTCAGATTACAGTTTAATCCGAGGAGGAGGAGGAGGAGGATACGCTGTCAAGACGCCGTCTGCATCTTGGAAAGCCTCTCGGTGTTTCTGCATACTAAATAAACGCGACTTTACGTACTAGTGTCAGTTTCTACAATAAACGGCCTGCATGTAGAAGATGAAGCGCCAGTCTTCCGTTGCTGTCTTTGCCTGTCCGCCGACTTGCCAATACGTTAAGATGTTAGCTGGCTAACTAGCTGGAAAAGAGTAACTAAATCGGATTAGCTGCTAGCGGCAGCCTCCCTCTAGGTAACACCCAGGTATTATTCGCTGCACTTGTCAACTATTACACAGCAAACCGTCGTCTCTGTTTTTTTTTTTTTTTTTTTAATGTTTATTACAATTCTACATTTGTGTCAACATTACTACTTAACGTTAGTGCTGTAATTATTCGCTAGAATAAATGTTGCTGCGAGCTAACGTTAGCTAGGCTGTTAGCCACTCAAGCCACAACAAGAGCTGGAGCTCCTTCGCTAGCTAATCTTCACTGTTTGTTGGAGAAGACATCAAATTAGTCCCTCCGACCTCAACCGAAAGTCAGGACGGAGCTGACGGCCACGCTGATGTGCTTGTGCTAGCTTGTCTTCGGGCTAGCTGGCAAGAGGGCTGTGCAAGATTTGATCCCCGAATTTAGCCTTCAGACGAAGCAAAGATGTCAGGAAAGGATAAAGACAAAGACAAACAGGAGAAACAGTCCACAACGGAGCGGCTGATAAAAGGTGAGTGTTTCCGTCAATTTGAGATGCGCATTAGAAATTGTTTGACTGGCAGCTAACGCATGGATTGAAAACCACCTGTAGCTTGTGGAATAACTTTGTCTAAACCCTTTTCTGTCAGAAAGGCTATAATGTGTAATGTTATAGTACAGCAGTGAGAGGCCGGTAAGCATACAGTCATATGAGATAAAAGTTGCATATAGAGTAATTGTCACTTTTGTTGTATATTGCACTATTGTCACACCCATATGGGCTCCTCAGCCTTTACCTTTTACCAGAAGATGCTCATGTATCTGTGGATAAGGGTGGATTTTTATGACTGCTTAGGATAGAACTTGTTTAAGGTATCATCGCCATAGTTTTCCACTGGTGTATGTAATACCCCACCTCATTGCAGAAATCAAAGGCAGTATGTCCTACATCTGTGCCCAATCTCCTTGACATTTAGGATGGGTGAGGTCTTAATTCATGGGGCTGTCACTCACTCACGGGAATACCCAAGGTCTGCTCAGGTTACGAGCAGGGCTTTACAAGATGGATTCCTTCACACTGAGGTTGTCATGGCTTATTGGACAGACAGGACACCATTTGTTGTGTCTGCCCAAGACGGGATAGTCAGAGCCAACTGTGAGGTAGCTCCCGAGAGAGAGAACCCAACCCCACCACATCCCCCGTCTGTCTGCAAGGGCACTGGGAGAGTGTCCTGCCAGGGGACTGGAATGCTGATGTGTGAGCCAGTAGGGAGAGGGTGAGTTAATTGTGGAAAGAATCTCCCCAGTGATGTTCCCAACATGGCCAGCCACATGGTGGAGAGAGAGAATAGGAACGTGACAGGGAGGAAGAGAGACAGAGGAAATATAGACTGGAGTAAAGACAACTTTGCTTTAGGGTGGGGACACCAAACCAATATTAGTGCCATATTAAAAAGTCTGACATCAGTTGTTGCTATCCACATCATGCATGGTTCAGTTGTTTTGAGTGGATATTTTGTCAAATTGATGAGTAAAATATCACTATGGGATCACAATGTGGACCCTTCAAAGTCCATATTAGGTGATCCTTTGTTGTTGTCAGGTAATCGCAATGGTGTTCCAGTGTAACTGGTGGTTGTAAGGGGGCTTAACTGGTAGACTGCATAAGACTAATGCTGCTCTCGTTGTGTAAGTCAACAGTTAAGCTCATTCTCTGCTGAGTATCGCAGTCGACCTGGTAGCTCAATCACTTGGTCATTTGATCTCATGTTTTCTCCCCAGGCGATGTGTGAACACACTAATAGGCGCGTGGAGCCACCTGTACTCACTGATGACAAGACTTTGCTAGGCTGCATTTGGTTTTTGCTATCTCCATTGCTTTCTGTGACAAAGATTCATGTCAATCTTGATACGAATTGAACCGCATTGCTGCTGCATGTTAAACCTGATCTTCGGTGTCTGGAATAAAATCAAAGAGATATAAGACATACAGTATATAGGGAGAATAAACCCGAGGCCTGGCTATTTAGCTCGCGAAGGTAATGCATTCACTGATAATTAGAGCAATCTGAAGTGGACTTCATGATTCATCCAGCCACAGTCTGCTCCATTCATCTCTACCCAGCCGCATCTTTGTAATTCAATCCTCCTCTATTGTGTTGATTTTGAAACAATAGCGAACATATTCTAGACCCTGGCTCATATCAGTGTCCAAAACATTATCCTCGGTGGGCAGGATGGTAGATAGTAGTGTCTTTTGTTTCTTGAGTCGTTTGTTGTCATGCCAGACAGTGTGGGTGTTGATGCAGTGCAGCAGTGTGTGTGTGTGTGTGTGTGTGTGTGTGTGTGTGCGCGCTTGCGTGCGTGCGTGTGTGGGTGCGTGTGCGTGGTTCTGAAGAGTTCATCAAACATTAATGCTAATTAGGCCATGCAGTCTCTAATAAGAAGCCAGTGTCAGGGCGGTGGCGGCTTATTATTTTTAACAAAACATTTTCTTCACCGGGTTATGTGTGGGAAAAATAAGTGGCTCACTTCAGTTTGTCTGCACCGTTGTTTTCTGTCACCGCGCGGCTGTTTGGACTGAGTAAGGCTGTTTACTGGCAGCCAGAGATTCATTTCTATCTGTGTTTGAACAGACTGGTCCAGCCTTGATTGTACAGGCAAACCGACCCAGAATTTATTATTATTGTTGTTGTTATTATGGGAGGGCGGGAGGGGGGTCATTCCTGTTGAGTTGGAAGGAGTGTTCGGTTCTTTGGCATTGAGACCAGCTATTATTGTCCAGCACGGGTAATTACTGCCAGCCTCTAGGCAAAGGCTCGTAAATTTGGTCAGCGTGTCTGTTGCCTGAAATGTTTCACGGTCTGGTTATCTCATGCCCCATTATGTATCCCATTCTGTGTCATCATGTTTTCACAGAGTCTGCTTTGTTCGTACTGGAGCCTTCCTTCAGTGTGACGAGGCTTTTAAGTAAACAGCCCCTGAATCTGGAAGCCCTTGCTAATAGAAGCTTTACCTAATCTGTTCTTAAGGCTCGTACCTCAGCTTACAGCTCTGTTCGCGGCCGTGCCTCGTAGGCCTGGGAGCACTTACTGTTTATTTATACCACACTGGTCAACGTATGACAGCTTGTCCTCGGCATAGACTAGCCAAGTTGGAGCTGTGCTCTAGCTTTTCCACGGCAGGCCGAGGCTAATCTGTGGCCTAACTAACATCAGCAATACATTAAACAGCGTGTGTCAAATATTTCTTTAAAAAGCCATGAAAAACATCAGAGTGGATCAGCCTCTAAACTCTAATTTGTTCCTCAAGTCCAGACTGAGACACAATCCTGAGTGAGACATACATTAGGCTACCCCTGCACTCAGGCACCGCATCACTGATTAGCAAATGCGCCCACACTAAAAACTCATTAGTGCTTTTTTCATATAGCACTTTGATTTGCTCTGTGTGGGTGTGACAACATTCTCAGAATGCCTCTCTCTCTCCTCCTCTTGTTCTTGTGCCAGTGGCACAGCTTATCACATAAGTAGTGCTCATTTTCTCGAGCTGATACAGGTATTTATGTCACATTTGATGGCCCGGGGTGTCCTGTGCACTGACCTGTGGATGGATCTGATGATATCAGGAATCCAGGATGAAATGGTAGTTTGGTAGTGTGCACTGTGGCAAGGTTTTCTGTGGTTTGTGTGCTCACTTTATAAGCTGTACAAAGGCTGTTGTTTATAACACTCGTCTTTTTTATTTATGCCTTACAGACTGTGTTGAAAAACCTCCCCGACTTTCCTTACACCGTACTTAATTGGTGCCATAATGCATTTGGTGTGGGCCTGGTCTCTTATTAGGCATACCAGCTGTAATCCCTTTTACCCCACAAGCCCTGGAAGTGAGAGGGCTTGGATCACACTCTACTATTGTTTTGAACAAGTGCAGCTTAGTCCGCAGCTATCTGCCCCTGTGCTGTTATGAACTGATGAGCTGCTGCTAGTGTTACAGTACTAATCTGCACTGTGAACAGCTTGGTAGAGAGTTAAATTTGAGCCTTTTTAATAGTGGTAGTTATACAACTTCTCATACACTGAAACTTGATATAATTCACACCATTAATGTTTTATTTTGGACAATTGGATTGAATTATGCTTTCTTTTTGTCAAGTATATTTTATTGAGGAAGGATTACAAAATGTAAACACTGAAGAAAAGCACAGCTAATACAACAGATAGTATCAACATAACTTAACTGAACAAAATATACTGTTAACACACCCACCCTCCCTGCCTCTCTCCCTTCTGCTCAGTAAGTATTATATGACAATAAAGGTTGCAGTGAAAAAATAGTAAAAAATAAAGTAATGAATATTTTATTGCCCAGTAGACTACACAAGGAGTGCACACTATGGGTTGTTTCTCATGTAACAGACAAAGGGATAGCCAGTCTTATTGTGACTGTCTGTCTGTTCTTCAGAGAGAACCCTATTTTTTTTTTCAACATGAAGGCTATTGGTCATTTCATTGAGCTACATCTTAAAAGTGGGAACTTCGTCCTTCTTCCACAATGTCGAATTATGCTTTCTTAATGGCATATCTGGTGAGTCTGTATTATAAGGCACAGTTTTCCTTTAGAGAATAGCTGTCTGTGTCTAATGTATTAACATTACTATCCTACTGCTAGGTCCTCTATTTGGCAGTGATACATTCATCAGTTTTGGATGTTGCGCACTTGACTGTTTTGATCACGAGGCACTCAGGTCTCAGCCTCAAAAGCATTGACCTTTTGTGATGACAGTAAAAGGATTGTGTAGGTGGTATGGAGCAGATTACTGAGGGAGGGTGGGTCAAGTGAGGTGCGGGTCTTCTTGCTGTCTGTCTCATGCATCTTTTGCATTCCGTTATCATGTAGGTGTATGCATCCCTCCTGCTCTGCCAATAACTTCATCTTGTCTCAGTTAATGCAAATGTCACTTCTTATGATTACAACTTTAGCAAATGCAGTCTGAGATGCAGAACATTTCTTCTGCTCCATGTGTCTTTCGGGGCCCATATCTTCTTTTATATTACTGGTATGAAATTACCATCTCTTCTTGCTTAGATCTAATTGTCTCTTGAATGCAATTTTCAGTTTGAACAAGATATTGACAAAGCCAAATTGCTGTAAATGCTAACAAGCTACAAGAATTTTAATTAGCTCTAACCTATTTATTCTAATAGATGGTGTTGCTTTTTTCCTTCAACAGCTGTGCCATACCCTCCACAGCATAAGCTGACTGTAAAAGAGCTGTTTGAAGATGGCAAGCCCAACGCTGAGCTGCTTCGCAACCACCTCGTCAAGGAGGGCAGGGTGGAAGAGGACGTGGCTCTAAAGATTATCAATGATGGGGCCAACATCCTCCGCCAAGAGAAGTGCATGCTGGAAGTGGAGGCGCCTATAACAGGTAGGCTGGCACATGCTCACTCAGAGCCCAGGATCAAACTCTGGACTGACTGCTGACAACCTTGGAAACATCAGTCTTAAAAAGTATATGTAGGTACTGTATGTTATCCCTTGTACATGATGGTTCAGTAGAGCTTCTTCCGGTGCTACACTTGTTAAGTAGTTTTAAAGAGTAACTGTTGGATGCAGACGTTAGTCATTCCAAGACAGCACAGATAGTGTTGTGATCAAAGAGTAAACACAGCACCAACGGAGGCATTATTCCATTGCCACACTGTTTCTGTATGCCGGCAGCTGGTGTATACCCCGTTCTGTGCCAGATCCAAGGGCCTTGCAGGCTGTCAGAGTCAACTCAGTCACTAGTCAGTTCTTTAAAAAAATATCTGCTCCCTCTTGGCTGACCTTTGCATGGCCGAAATTCAGCACCCTCAGATCCAACCAGCTCTTGAGAAAAAATTATATATATGAATGGCATAAGTTAATCGGCTCCCCCAGTTTTGTTACTGTTCAGTTTCCCTCAACACAAAAGTCATTTAGCATGATATGGCTAATGTGCACATGTGAAAATTGGACACTTCCTGTATTCTGTAATTTGACAACAACACCTCTCTTTGCTGTTATGTGGTGGACAGGAGAGCCTTTATTTCTTATTTTAACTTAACTCTGGGGAGAGTCAGTGTGATAATATGTCTTTGCATGCTTATATGGTTTATTACAATAGCCAGTACAACCTCCACAGCTGACAGTTGCTAGTTAGCAGGGATAATAAGAGGATGAACTTTCCTAATTAAAAAAAAGTATTTATAGCTCAGCTGTTGTGTAATAGCACGTGCGATACTGTTTCCACATTCCACAAAATCAAATTTAATCTAAGTCTAAATGCTCTCATCTGCACATAGCTGATACCAGTGTTAGGTGTCATTGCAGGGTCAGATCTCAGAATGCAGTGTTTCTCAGTGTACCTGACTGTAACAATTCATATGCTAGATCAGTACATCAAAGCTAATTATCGATGCAAAATTGAAAAAAGTCTGATTGAAAAAGTCAACTTAAATGTCTCTGGCTTCAGCAATAATCAATATGAAACACTTTCACCAAAACTCCTCCCTCCTCTGCCATGATTAAGTGAGTTTAAATTATTAGTTTAATAGTTGACAACTAATTGATTAATCGACTAATCGTTGCAAGTCTAATCAAGGGTATTCAGTCTTTAGATCTTCAGTGTTTGGTGTCGTATCACAGTATTTACTGAAATAACAGGCACAGTATTTTGTGTCTCTTATATTAGAATATTGATTAAACTATAACTGTGTTGTCTATGTTTCATTTTGTAGAAGAGGGATATAATGGATACGAAGTTTTTCTAATCATTACTGAATCCAATCCTGATTTGAGAAGAAAAATAATATTTGGCCTAGAATGGAATGGAAACTTGTTAATGTGCAGAACTCTTTGAAGCTGCAAGTTTAATAAATGTAGAGGCTTCTTTTAGGTTTTTGTAAATATAGCTGGTTTTAGAATAGAGAAATAGCAATTTATTGTAAATCCAGACAGAGAAACATCATTGTGCCTTGCACTTGTTGTTACATGAGGAATTAACAGCAGTGTGTTTGTCTTTTGGCAGTATGTGGTGATGTCCATGGCCAATTCTTTGACCTTATGAAGTTATTTGAAGTGGGGGGATCACCCAGTAACACACGGTATCTCTTCCTCGGTGACTACGTAGATCGAGGATACTTCAGTATTGAGGTAAGTTGTTGTTTCTTCACATTTTATTAATTTGTAATGATTTATTTTACATTTGAAGGGGGAAAAATGACATACCTGTATCCAAACTAGGTGTTTAGTTCACAGAAGATTTGAAATACATTTGGTCGAACAGATATCTCATCTTAATATTAACTCTAGGTGTGTCACTGTTGTGATTTTGTCTTTTTAGCCTTTGGTTTACAAGTGTAGGTAAACTTTGTTTCATGTAGTTGAATTCTCGGCATCTTAAGATGTTTGGATAAGCTATATTGTGAGGCTGTAACAATGCACAGTATTCACTGTTTAATTCAGTTTTGTCAGTGTTGTCAATACATTTCATTAGAGCAGAAATTGGTTCCTTAGGTGTTTCCTTTCATGTAAAGTTTCTGTGTCTTATTTTATAAAATTAAGTTTGTCTAAAAATGTTTCAAAAATAAAATTAATTTCTGCTGTAAATGAAAATGTATTGAAAGTAGGGCTGCCCAATTACTCTAAACATTATTGAAATCGCAATATGGCCAATTGCAATAAGAAAATCACAGGATCAATATGCTTTAATGTTTTATTAAAGGTAAAATGTGTGACAAACAGCTTTATAAGAAATGTCCTGGCCTACAAATCTTGTTCTTCAGATTTAAGAAAGCATGTTTATTTGGTACAGACCCCTAAAAATTATGACTTTAACTTTGTCAATAACAACAATTAACAATCACAATATTATGTTTTTACCATATTGTGCAATCCTAATTGCAATGTGACACAAGGGTGATATATCAAGTCAAATAGTGAATATTGTGCACTGACCAATGTGATATGTTTCTGTGTATTGTTCCATCCCTTCAGTGTGCGGTAGGTTAATGAGATGTCTTTATCTTACATCGGGTCGTAATGTAACCTGACCTCTTGCTGTGTTTTTGGCTTGGCACTCTGCTGCTTGTATCCTAGTGCAGTGCATGTGAATTCAGATTAAGTTGATGTAATGAGATAAATGTAAACTAAACTAATGGTCTGTCCAATTTTGATTCTCAAAATGCGTAGGCTAGCTACTAAGATGTAAGGCTTACTGCAGTGCTGCTCTGAAGATCTTACTTCAGTGCTTCTTGACCAATGGGTTTTGCTGTCTTAAATTCTATTTCAATGACAACTTCAAAGGGCACAGTTCATACATGCTTGTTAGAACAGTTAAAAATAAGATGGGGGATTGGAACAGAGAGCTGCAGACTGGCTATACGAAGTGTAACTGCAGTACCCTTATTAAGAGCCCTGGCCGGAGGGTGGCAGCTGTAGTAAGCTTTGATTTATAGCATTTACAATGGTGACCCAGCTTCATGGATTTAAAAAAAAAAAGGAATAGTAGAAAGAAAACATGGAAAACACTACTGCTGTGTAATCCTGTCCTCTGCTGTCCACTTGTATAGGTATATTCAATAATCATACTCGTACAATGGTCGAGTACTGCTTTAAGCATCAGACGTTAGCTGTAATTAGGTTAAACAAGAGACAGATCATTGAAAATAGCTAGTCAAAAAGAAATATAACAAAAATGTTCTGTAAATTAGATTACTATGTCAACATCTGTGCTGACAAGAAGAAAAGCCAGAAATTGTGCCAGATGATATGAAATAGTCTCAGATCCAGATCAGTAAAAATAATAGGTTACCTTGTGGGAGTAGTGTGAACCTCTAGACTCACTGTCATTTATCTTCAATCACAGCGAGGTACAGTATTTGTCAGTTATGACTCAACATCAGTATTCTTCAACACATATCAAACTCCAATTGTTCCTGTGAATACCTCAGAGAACTTCATCTGATTTTAGCTCTCTGGAGCACCAGGCCTTGCATTGCGGTACAGCATTGTTATTTTAAACATTTTACACATCAGAGTGTTAACAGGTCTTGGGGGAGTGCTACTGCATATGTGAACAAAGTCTATTGTGTCTCTAAAGGGTGCTGTTTGAAATCTGATAAATTACCTCAAGTGATGTCACTTGAGTCAGTTTTAGTTGGAGGTGAAGACTGCAAGTTTCAAACTCAAACAAATCTGTTGGTAGCATTAGTTAGACCTGAGCTTGCCAGACCTCTGTAGCCTGCTTCTCATTTCAGCTTGAGGCTACATTAGCTGTTAATTAATCTCTGACCAGCCTGTTAGCAGTCGACTTGCATTGTGGGTAATGTGTGTGCCAGGTTGACAATGCTTGGAATTAAAAAAATGATCTCTGGTTCTGCTGCATCGATTTTGAAGCCTCTGTGTATAAACTGTCAGTGGAGAACTCTCTTTAGTGACATGAGATATGATTTTTTTCACCTTTGTTGGGCAGTCCTGATTTGTCTGATGTTTAGTTCATTATTTGTATATAGCATTCTGAAAGTGTGAAATGTTACAATGCCTTCAGGAACATTTGCAAAGGAGAAGCAGAAAATAAAGAACATTTCATAAGGATGGTGTGTAGTGGGCCTGATGTAAGAGTCAACAAGGCAGCATGCTAACGTTTTGGCCACCCTGTGGGGGATTTTGGTGGGCACTGGGTAGTACCCTGAGGTGGGTGAAATGTCACAGATGAAAGGAGCAGACTGAAACAGCATAGGGGATGATAGGCTGATGCCGATTTAGGGTTTGTGTCCACTGAAGTGCTCAGAAATTGGCACTGGGGTTATTTCCCCATGCATTTCTATAGCAAAGTGACACTTTACACACTTCCAACCCAATAGAGGGGAATGACCTCTTCTCCACTTGAATAACAGTTCAGTGTGTCTGAGCCACAGCGCTTATCAGTGTCACTCTGGAGCTCCTCCACCCACTGCAGTTGAAGCACAGGTGTGATCAGACAGGAGTGGAGAGGGTGAACATACTGCTGTGTACAGCACTATATATGTGTAATGTATGTATAATTCTTTCAGTATATCAGAGGAAGCTGTTTGGCCTGATTTACTGACGCAAACTCACCACAAAACCAAAACAATTGAGCCTGAAAGCCCCAGATTCTTGCTTTTGCTACATTTTAAAGGAAGGCCACAGAGCTCACTTCAGTAACACATAAGACAGATATAGGAAAATGGATATCAGGATGTGGTTACCTTGGCAACATTAAGAGTCACTGTAGCCTCTTGTAGCAGTGTATTACCTTTGCAGGCCAGTAATTTGCCAAAGTCTAAATTCAGTGCATGTGAGCAATCCATTTCATTCTCTAAGCTCTTCTTTATCTACTTAGTAAATTCTCTTTGATCCAAGAGAGTGTGTCTGTGGACTAACTCTCCCAGCCCCAGCGTAGGCCCTGTATATACACCAGGCACAGGCTGAATTGTGTTTGCATGAATCTACATATGTGTGTCTGGGTTCGAAGGTAGCCAGCGCTCATGTCTGCCACACAAAGCTTTGTGCCATTTCCTTTGTCTGGCTCCCCCACTCCAGGCTCCAACACAGAGTGGCTGGCTAAAAGAGAGCAGAGGGCTCTCATTAAAACCCATGTCAGCTTCTAGTCACTCCAGGCCATGTCCCTTTCTCCACCTCCGCACATGAGAGATCAAGTCACACCGACAGTCCCCCACTACACATTTACCTACACTTCACAGTTCACTATTCCTCCTGACAGTGGAAGTGAATACGAAAATGTAGTCCTCTCTTTTTTCCCTACATTGTCAGTTGCATGAATACATACCTGCTGACTCTGGTTACCTTGGCATCTTGTTCCAGCGACTTAATAGCAGGCCAAGCTTGGTGCATGTTAAAAGAGTGGGCTGAGAGTGGCAAGTGGCAGCTATTGAGCAGTGCCTTGTCTGAACACTAAAGAGAAAGCAAGTTCATTTGGATTGTAAATACCGGTCTGCTTTTCATAGTCTTTTTATTTATTTATTTATTTATTTTGCATTAGAACCTTTAATATGTTCACTGGAAAACATCCTTTTGGTGAATTTGCGAAGAAAAAAACACATATTGCTATAGGTAAATTAAATAAATAAATAATAATAAAAAAACCAATTCATCAAGACATTATAAAATAAAAATATTATAAATAATTGTTAGTTACAGCCCTAGTCTGTGATAATGTTATAAACGAGGTAAGTGAGACCGGGATGGTCGTTCTTTGTTATCCCATCGATGCTGACATGTGGTTTCCAGTGAGAAGTGAGCACTGGAAATTAAACACCGATCACACAAGCACTTTCAGAGCTTAGACTTTGATCGTCGGTGCACATCTTTGACTTTTCCCTCTCCTCCTCTCATCCCACATTTTCTCTCTCACTGTCTGTCCTCCCAGTGTGTTCTCTACCTCTGGTCACTCAAGATCAACCACCCCACCACACTCTTCCTCCTGCGTGGGAACCACGAGTGCCGGCACCTCACAGAGTACTTCACCTTCAAACAGGAATGTAAGTGCAGTGTTTCTCTCAGCCGTATGAAGGCCAGTCTAATGTGCTCCTACGCTCTCTGTAGCACTTCACAGTGGTCTGTATCAATCAGGTTTCAGATTCCTGACCAAGCCTGGATGCAAGTGGTATGGCAAGTGCAGGATCGCTCTTGCGCTCACTACAGCAAGTTAATTGATCATCCTTTTTTTTATTTCTACACACCAACAGGCACAAAATAAAAACACATCATTTTAAGAAGCATTGGCATTTCCATGTCAGAGAAGAAGTGTGCAGTAACTGTGAGGTGACTGACTCCCCTTAATGAAATGACTAGCTTCCCTTAAGTAGGACATGTTTGTCAGAAAGTGTCTGTGGGATCAGGAAGCCCCGTCACAAGATGTGGCAGTTCCTCAGTGTTACAGACTCCGCAGAGGAGATGAAGCCTTATTCCTTTTCACGTTACAGACGATGAACTGCTGGAGCATGGAGAGCAGCCAGGCATGCTGCTGATGCTTTTCAGAGTTACACACACACTGATTTCAATCTGTGACAGTTGAGTGTGTGAATCTGTCTGTGTGTGTGTGTGTGTGTGTGTGTGTGTGTGTTTGAAGCAGGTGTGGAGGCATTAGTATGCAGGCTCAGAAACAAAGACATTTTGGCAGACAGCAAAGACAACCTTGCCAGCTGCAAATAGATTTCACTCTCTACATCCTCAACCCCCCCCCCCCCCCCCCCCCTCCCCCACATCCACCCACATACCATCTCAGCTACACACACAAACTGTGTCATTACATACTGTACCACCTTGGAGTGGTTTAGGTGGTGGTCATTGGGGGCAGGGTGTAATACTTTTATAATAAAAGCAATTAAGTATGTGTGCAAACTATGTGAGCAGATAAAGCGGTAGGGAAAATCATTGATTCTTAGATTCATTGTGATCTTCACTTACTTTGAGTTTATAGGGCTTCCCCATCTTTTTAGTTTTATATATACCGCAGCAAAATGACAGGTAGTGGGAGGAGAGACGAGTCTAATGTGCTTAGTGACTGAATGTGTTCTGCTCCTTGATATTGTTTATTTTAAACCCTGCCAAACTGACTAATCATTTCAGCACTGTGGTATTACATTGGATCACATTACAGATTTGTCCAGGAGATTAGGCAGTTGTAGTTGGAAGATGATTACAAGTATGACTGCGACAGAGGAATTTTATAACTGCTTGACCTTGACCTGTCTTCGTACAGGAGTTACCTATAGGACACATGGTTTTAGAGCAGAAAGTCCTTTTAACATTTTGATTTCTGCCATTCCATTGTTGGTCTACAGTGTTGTGTTCAAGGTAATACAATCAAAAGTAACAAGAAGTGTTCATCCCTATTTGGTTAATTCATCCTCAGCACTCCATTATATAAAACTGATTTTAAAGACTTACTAATCAACTTTGCCTCATATACATTTTTTGTTTTTACGAGTAGCATATAGGGAGGTAAGACCTGAATTTAATTATACAACTCTTTGTTGACAATGACAATTAAATAATATTATACCCTTGTTAAAACAATTAAGATACTGAGAGTGAGGTTTTCTTGATACTTTGGATTGTCCTGATTTTATTATGTTTCAGTTTTTATGTGTCAGGTTTAGCAAAGATTTAACTTCCATCCGTCATCTTAATGCCTTGTATCCTAGTCCGGTGTGCATTCATTAAACAATTATAATTATATTATATTATATTATAAATAATTATATATTTAGGAACTATTCTATATTCTATACTATACTATATACTGCTGGGAAGTATGTCATATAATAATAAACAATTCCAGGACATATTGTGTCTACTGGTTTTCCATCATACTTTGAACAGTGTGATCTTGTGAAGGTATTAAATTGCATTCTATGATGTATTGAAAAGGCCTTAAAAAGTCTTAAACATGGTAAACCCTTAAGAAACCTTGTTAAAGTTATATTGAGTTTGTGCTTGCAATGACAGAATGACTTGTTAGTTTTTTATTTCATTTTATCTTAAAATAAACACACAGACACAAAAGATGTGATTTAGCAGTCCAATAAAAACAAATTATATAACAGTGAACATCTCGACACAACAGATCCCACCACAGTTTGACAGGAAAAAGAAAAAAGATTAAATAAATAACTAGATGAATAATAAACAGCAAACATTGTGTTGTCAAGACACACATCTTACGTTAACTGTGAATAACTACTTGCAGCACAGACATTGCAACAGACAGTGGACAGACAAAAAAGTAGCCAGTCTCTAAACTGAAATTTTCAACATGCAACATGATAAAAGAATGCTCATTTCAAGTACAAAGCTTCACTCTTAAGACTTTTCCATACTTAGTGCTTCCTTGGCACTGGAGCATTGGCTTGTTCAGTCTTTAAAACCCACATTGTACCGTCATTGGCTGCTCCTGCCCTATAAGGAGTCAGCTTCCTCCTGACCTGATCTGACCTGCAGTGTTGTGCAAGTGACACTGCAGAAACTGCCTGGAAACGATCATCAGTCCCACTGTTGGCAGAGGAGCTGCGTTACTTCTTCACAACACTTCTGACAACAGAATTTTGGCCATTTGTGGCCTTTTTTTTTAAAGAAAGGGATGAGCTCCAAAAATGAACCATATGTTGTGTTGTCACAATGTGTTTGCTGCAGGTAAAATTAAATACTCTGAACGGGTGTATGACGCCTGTATGGAGGCCTTTGACTGCCTGCCCCTCGCTGCCCTGCTCAACCAACAGTTCCTGTGTGTGCATGGCGGACTTTCACCAGAAATCAACTGCCTAGACGACATAAGGAAAGTAAGTGATCAGTTGTGGTAAAATACAGAAATAGCATCATTCTTTCATGCACTGTCTAAGAACGGAAGATCTAAATTTTATTCATTTTAATATTGGTTTGAAATGTTGCAGCCCATTTAGAGTTCATCACTGCAATTTCCTGCATGTAAGAAGTCAGTCTGAAGCAAACATTGTCTCTGTTAACTGTGTTTCTGTGTTTTGTGCTCAACAGTTAGACAGGTTTAAAGAGCCTCCAGCATTTGGGCCAATGTGTGACCTGATTTGGGCTGACCCTGGTGAGGACTATGGCAGTGAAAAGACATCTGAACACTTCAACCATAACTCCGTCCGAGGCTGCTCTTACTTTTTCAGGTATTAGATAAAATACAAGTTGCTCTCTTCATCACTCCTGCTGCAGTTTCACTCACTCTAGTAATGATTTAGTAGTGCAGTAACACCAAGCTCCCACAACAGTTATTGTAATATAAACAATTGATTTTAGCGGAGATTTTTGTTGACCGATCTCACATGAATAGAAAAATAATGACAGATAATTGAATAGAAAATAGGCTGCATCACACAGGTCAGAGGATGTAGCTTCACTTTTTTGTAGGTCAAACAGCTTATTGAGGCACTTTCAAAAATGGCCCTCTCAAAACAGGTTAACGGATAAAAACAGCTTGTTCAAAATAGGTTAACACATTAAATGTGACTTTTACAAAAATAGGTTAACAGATGCAAACAGCTTGATCAGAATACGTTCAATGAAAATAGGTTCAGAAATGGTCCACAGGCATTCATCTTAATGGCACATAAGAAGGCTTGTTTGGAATCCTGTAGGTCGACAGAGACAAAAAGCTTATTCAGAATGAGAGAGAACAGTCAGGTAACTGTGTGTAATAAAAATAAAAATAGCAGTCACACAGGTGTCTTTTTATAAAAGCTAAACAGTATATGGTGCTGAACTTCATGATTCAGGTATGACAACAGCTTGATTTGTTGATTTGAATACATGTGCTGTGGAGCTGGGCTACAAGATATTGTGAGTCTGCTTGACTCGGGTTGAGAATTTTCTGCAGCTGCTTACAGCAGCTGTTTTTTTGCCTAGTTATAACATTAAAACAGGTTGCACCACACACACTAGTTCTTACGTAGAGAACAAAGAGCTGTAGTTGTCATTTTTAGCCAAGTTAGCAGCAAGGCTCTAGGGATGGGAATGTTGGTCGACCACTTTGGACCAGACTGAAATATCTGAACAATTATTGCATGGATTGCCATAAAATCAAGTGTTGTCGTCCGGATAAATTGTAATAACTTTGGTGATCTAAGTGAATTTTTCATCATCAGATCAGAAATTCACTCCAATTTAGGACCAAAGATAAGATATTCAGATTTTTCTTTTTCTTTTTTTCCTATCCACTGAAGTGGTAAATGTCAGAAACTGTTATCTTGGCCTGATGTAGATCTATGAAATGTTGAATGCCCACTAATTTTTCTTGAGCATTCCTAATAGATTGGTAGACCAGCTATAGAAGGAAAGGCAGTAAAAACCCTCAAGTACCCTCATCCAGCTGAGCTCTCTTGCCTTCTTACGTCTGCTTTGGCTACAGTCCCCAGCTTCGGGAGAGCCCAGCACAGCCCATAAATGCCAAAGTCCTGGCTCTGGGTGCTCAGCATTTAAACCCCTAGCTCAACAGGCCACAGGGCATGGCATGCTGAAAATAAATATAAAAGTATTTCAGTAGGCAAACAACAGTCAGTGAAGTCATAAGTGGCCTCATGCTGTTCCTTTAATGGTTTCAGTTTGAATAAGCTTTGACCTCCACTCTGTCTCTCTGTTTCTTTTTTCTCTTTGCAGTTACTCAGCCGTGTGTGACTTTTTGGTAAATAATAACTTGCTGTCAGTAATAAGAGCCCATGAAGCACAGGATGCAGGGTAAGTAGGGTTACAATTATTTGATTAATTTCCAGCACATTATAATTTATAATATATTTGATGAGTAATTTTGTTTGCGGCCTGACAGGTATCGGATGTACAGAAAAAGCCAGACCACAGGCTTCCCTTCATTAATCACAATCTTTTCAGCTCCAAATTACCTAGACGTCTACAACAACAAAGGTTCTTGTGTTTTTTTTTCTCACTCTCATTGTTGTATTTCTATTTCTATTTTATTTTTCAGTCCTTGAATCTCTTCTCGCATCTCTTTCCCTTTGTCAATCCTAGCTGCTGTATTAAAGTATGAGAACAATGTGATGAACATCCGACAGTTCAACTGCTCACCCCACCCTTACTGGTTGCCCAACTTTATGGATGTCTTCACATGGTCTTTGCCTTTTGTTGGAGAGAAAGGTATGTTTGTTGTTTATTTGGGAAAATGTGAATGGCAAGCCAAAAAGAAACCCTTTATTGCATTGCCTGCGATACACTGACTTTGTGGAATATACAGACCCAGACTCACCCACATCCTATTTACGCCTGGTATTAAAATGCAACACATTATCCCGATAAGGAAAAATGCATGTTAATGCGAGGTGTAAGTGCGTTGTGATCAGAATTTGATCAGATCTGTAAATGCAATCCGTACAAAGTGATGGCATTCCATATGCAGCATAACTGATACAGAATGGTTTTTAGCCAACATAAAATATAGGTTGATGTTTAAATTTAGAGAGCAAGCAAGCGAGAAGGCTGAAAGAGACACGCTTCTAATTAGTAATTATGCATCTGTTCTGTGTATGAAAGTGCCAGAAGATGAGTTATTCAATAGAACTGCATGAAAAATGGAAGCATGGGAAATGGATGATATACAGTAAGAAATAACTGTGTGTGACTCATCTGTGCAGTTGATCTGCTGTTAACAATATCATTTATCTAGACTTAGTTCTTCACGCCATTACTGCAACACACCAGGACAAACTTTAAACTTTTAATTTTAAACATAGGACTGAATAATTTATTCCATTTTCCAAATTTACCGGAAGGGACAAATAATTAAGCTGTAAACTAAGTTTATAAATGTCCCCCATTTCAGCAACTCACAAAACAGATTTTTAACGTGATTTTTGTGTGTTGCTGATTTTCCATCACTCAAATTATTCGCTCAGGTTTTTTGTAATTCTCTTTTTATTGGTTTTACAAAAGGAAAAACATACATGCATACTTAAACTTAGTACTTATACTAGCCAATAGGGTGTACATCATACATCAAAATATTACAGCAAACCACACCTAAGACAGAACAGGAACAAGGATAGTGGATTATAACACAGACAGAGCATTATACATAGTATGCAGTGCCTCAAATTATACATATAAAGAACATTATATCATTGTAGGAACAGGTGGAACTCTTCAGCACATCCCGTTGCTGTGACATAAGGGCACCAAATTTTCATATAGATACCTTTCCAGAAAAAATCGAAGTGAATTCAGACAGTGCCACACAACCCCTGCCCCAAACATGGGTTTGGTACCAGTCTCAAGTTTTAATGTGGCTTCTATCCCCCACAGTGACGGAGATGCTGGTGAATGTACTGAACATTTGCTCTGACGACGAGCTCATGTCAGAGGGAGATGACCTATATGAAGGTGAGACTGAGAGAACCAAATATTGTAGTGGTTTTAGTCTGGATTGTCATGTACCATGATGGTGGAAATATTGTTAGACATTACCATTCTGGCAAGAAAAATATTTTTCACACTTGTTTGTGTGATCATTTTGAAATGTAGTGATTGATATGGAGCACTGAATGTTACTGGTTGCTTTAGTCTAAAAATACATAGATGTAGTAAGTGCACATTTGCTTGGCTTGTAGATTTTCTCCAAAATTGATTCTGTTCTCTCATTCTGTAAATTGCATTCTCAGTTTAGTTTTTAATTTGGTTGAACTGAAAATGAGTCATGGCTCGCAGTTAATTGACTCAGAATGCTGGGAGCTATGCTTTTCATGTAAGGTGATTTATACACGGCACTTTCAGCCTATGTCCCGAATGTCTGATGATGAAGGAGTTCTCCTCCCTTTAGTAGAGCTGCTATGCTTTGAAACACACCATTAAACCCTCAGTTAATCTCTCGAATGGATCATGTGTTCATCCTTTGTTCTCTTCCCAAAAGGCTTTTATACAATATTTTGTTCTTTTTAAGTGAGTGCTAAGACAATCAGTAGGAAAGGATGTAAATGGCTGCACTGAATACTCAAGGTGTGTCTTAACCTTACATTCTGGACTTGTTCCAGGTGGAACCTCAGCGATGCGTAAGGAGGTCATCCGGAACAAGATTCGTGCTGTGGGAAAAATGGCCCGGGTCTTCTCAGTCCTCAGGTCAGACCCGATCATTAACTCTCTCCCCTTGATGTATCTCTTCCTCTGTCGTGATAATACTCTAACAGGAAAAGGCTCCTGTACATGTATAAATGGATCACAATGAGCTCAGTACGGAGGGGGTAAGATACTCAAATTGAATAGCAGGTCAGCGGGAGGCCAGGAAGGTGCGGGAGTGTTGGCGAAATGAATGGAGTCAGTTGAGTGCACAATGAAGTTGTGTTTGAAAACACAATGTTGTCCAGCGAGGATTAATGAGCTGGCACGAGATTAGTCACGATGCACCTAGACTGTATAATGACATTGGACATTATTCCAGATTAATGCTGCTGCTGCTACCTTGTCACACTGCTGCAAGTGGGCAACATGTAGAACAGCCTGTCTTTCAGACCAGTGCATGTGGGTCAATGGCTTGAAGAGTATTTCACAAACAGTGAACTTACTTTTTTTTTTTTTTTATCCAAATGACACTTGACTTGCTACATTTTCATCCTTTGCAGGATGAATATAATAATTATAAGTTTACATTTTAAAAGAAGGCAAAAGTCTCATTTCAGTTGTTATGGTAGAGGAGAAAAAGGTGAATAATAAACATATTTTAACACTTGTAAGCAATATTTAGAAATATTGCTTGAGCTGCTTAAATTGACAGAAGTTGTCACTGACCCACTTACAGAACCAGGACACATGTTAACAGTTTGGCTGCAGGCGTTTAGAGCTGACTGTCTACCACTCTGTCAGGACAGTGAGTGGGCACAGGTTAAATATCCAGTAATGATTGAACAGCCTCTTTACCACCAGGTGTGCGTGCTGCCACCCTGCTTCCTGAAATGTAATCAGTGTGTGTGTGTGCCTGTGTTTTGTTTGTGGACTAGGGAGGAAAGCGAGAATGTGTTAACACTCAAAGGCTTGACCCCAACTGGAACTCTTCCTGTGGGAGTGTTGTCAGGGGGGAAGCAGACCTTACAGACTGGTAAGTGTGGTTTATACTCAATAACCCTGTTTTATGATTCCTCCTTTTTAACTGCTATTGAGCACAACCTACATACACCCTTGGGGACATTTCCTCCCCCCTTGTCACCAAGTTTTTTTGTTTTTGTTTTTTTTTTTTTGCTATGAGCTAGTGCTGGGTGATATTGTGGATGAATCAGTGTACCGATTTGAATTTCCCATATGAACTTTTACACATACCACCATACCGTTGCATAGCTGAAACAGCTGCTGTAACTGTAACAACTATTTTTTTTTTTTTGTGCAATAGTACATTTGCCAAATATATCTTTGAATTGAATTGAATACTTAAATACTTTGAATATTTTATGTCAGCTTATAATGTCAGTTTATAGTGTATTGTTTTTACTACGTTACAGTTTGAACACTAAACATTGTTTATATTCTGCAACTGTTTCATATATTGTGATTCCTTTACCATTTTGTGGGGCCAAGAAACACCTAGTAATCAAAGCCTTCAGTGTATATATATGATGATGTTAGAGTGTTTTCATATTCTGTGAACTCCTGACAGTAGAATAAGACACTATAATCCTATATGAAGGTGCAAAAAATGACTGTGTAAAATTACTTTTTTACTTTTCTTTTTGGAAAGAAGTGGTGTTACTTCTTCTTAGCACTAGAAAAATACACAACATACTAGGTAAATATAAAAACACTATAAAACCTTTTCCTGTATTAGCTATACCTAATGAAAAATGTTAGGGTTGTGAGGCATTGTGTGAGTCATAAAATGCACTTATTTGCAGAGTTTAAAGAGTTTATACGTCTGCACAGTAAAAATGTAGCTCGAGCCAGTACCCAGGGAGCTTAGCTTAGCATAAAGACTGGAAATGGGGAAACCTCTTCCTACCAGCACCTGTAAAGCTCACCTTAACTCACTTTATATCTCATTGGTATAGTCCTAAAAACAACCATTTTTGATATTATGTGCCAGACTGTTTCTTGGAAATCTCTGCTGGTTGCCTTTGAACAGAACCTGGTTAGCTGTTTTATAGGCTTAATGCTAACCTGCTGCTAGCGCCAGCTCATATTTACTGTACCTGTTGACAGTGTGTTAGGTAAGTTTTGTTTGTTTCTTATTCATGCAAAGAACTTGCCAAAAGTAGATTAACTGTATCCAAGTAATACGGGGAAATAGCATCTCAATTTGATGATATCTATTGGTGTACAACCATCAAGCATTGCCTTTACCTTAAATGATCCCTATTTTCTCCACTGCTGGAGCTAAAACTGTCCATACTGACGTCCAGTTTAGGGAGACTAGCTTCCCTGTCCTGCTAGTGCCTTTGAAGGGTTCTAGATCAATAACGGCATGCTCACCACAGGAAGCGCTGGCTAGACTTTGACTCGAGCCCCCACCATGCAACAGAAAGTTTTCGGGCTCAGCTGTGGGGCTGGCTGGTCGGGGGGGTGCTCCTGTCACCTGGAAGTGGCTGCTGACCCTCTGATCTAAAGGTCAGTGCCTGGCCTCACCCGCCAGAGGACATGCTGGGAGTCACGCTTAGCCACACTGAAGGCTTACAGAAGTTGCGGAGCAATCGAAGGAGAAACCACATGTTGGTGACCTTTTTGGAGAATGTCATTGTCCATGTCCGCTCCCGTAGCCACAGTCTCCAGATCAGCTAGGCCGCTTTGAACAACACAAATGTGTATGATGTATTTTTTTTCTTATCCATTGTTTTTCCTGCCTGCAGTTTTTCACATTAATTAACCCGTTTCTGAGGACATTAAAGATTCAGTATTCAGTCTAGTCATGCTGACACCCAGAAATGTTTTCAGTGCCGACAAGCAGAAAAATGAAGTGTCACCACTAACAAAGTACCCCATAATGCACTGCTGAAGAGGAAAAATGATGGTGATTACAATTCAGCAGCCGCTATCTTAACACAGCTCTCATTCATCTGGAATACAAAATCATTTCTCTGAGAAGTGATATTTCACGCGATTGTCTTCATTCAGAGATCAAATTAGATAATTCCAATATTCTTGCACCTGCACATGCAATAACAAGTGAATGTGACTGTTTGGGTAATCAAATATGAAGAGTTCCAAAATGCCAAACAACTATTTTAAAGGACAAATATTAATCATGTAAAGTTCAGTACTGAGTATTTCTAAATTCTACTTAGTTATGAATGTTTTTCTCATTTTGGATTAAGCTGTTTATACGTTTGTCTTTTGACTAAATGAGTGTGTGTCTGAAAGAATATTTCTGATTGCATCTGTACTGCAGCTTTGCCTTCCTGTAAGGCTGCGCTGTACAAATGCGTCGTCCTGCCTGGTCATTGTTGCGCATCTCGCCCTGGTCTTGGACTCTTAGTGCTCAGCCAAATCCCCCCTCAGCTCTCCACACCTAAGTCCTCTTGACCCTTTAACACCAGCACCATCCTAAATCTCCACAGGCTTCTTTTCTCTAACCTTCCCACCCACTAACTAGAGTTTTTTTTTGTTTTTTGCTGAAGTTTTTACAGATGCTATGAATTTTGCATACATAATGACTGTACCATGGGTGTTGGCCTATATTCTGCCATCTGTTTCCCCTTTTTATCACACCAGGGTTTACAGTCTGATACTACTGTTGTATTTGCTATGTCTGGCTGCCTTTGATGACTCCCTTTTTTTCCCCCCTTCCTCAACTTTCATTAACATAGCTACGGTTGAGGCAGCTAAAGCAAAAGGTACGCATGGCTGTGTGGCTCAAATCTCATGTCTTTGTTTTGTGTGTGTTGTTCACCCTTTAAACACAGCCCCACCCTTCAAATGTTTGTTTAATTGTTCTTTTAGTATCCCCACTGTTTTTATATCACTATTATATTGCTGTATATTACTTTATTGTTGGTTGCTCTTGCATTATCAATGTCTGTTTCATCACAGTGGTTCCATTAGTGTAAGTAAGTAGTTTATGTAGAACTTTTAACTTGCAGTCAAGCAATAAAAGATGAACAGAAGCTTGCATCAGACTAAAACGAGTACAACAAACAATTAACAATTCCCTGAAATGGGCTATTAAAATGCATTTAAAGAAGTATTATTGAACAAGATTATTTTTACCAGCCTTTGTTGAATCAGGCCTGTCAGTGTAAATCAGAAACATAAAGCCCATGCTTCAAAAAGTTTGGTTACGTGTACCAGGTTTAGGACCTGGCTTGTCCCCTGTTGACAATGCTTTCCAGGCTGTAGTCACATTGGCTTTTCTTGCCAAGTGTGGCTCCCCACACAGAGAAAAGCCTGCTAAGACCTGGCTAAGATAAGACCAGGGACATCCCTGCCTGGGATATTTTCAGAAGCTAATCCTGTTACACTATTTGGTTGTTGCGACACTGTCTGCCCCTTCTGGTTGATAGTGGCAGTTAGTGGTTCAACAGGCCTCAGCTATGAGAATGACTTGTTTGATCAAACATATAAAATCTAAAAGATTCTGTCCTGGTGGCTTTTGTGCAGATCACAGAAGGTGAGGGTATAACATCACAGACAACTAATTTAAGGGGCAGTGCGTTCAGGCAGCATAACTTGCAGTATGTGGTTCCCAACCACATGTCTACCTGCACATCCCTATCAGATACGACCCAACCCCTCATGCTCCAAATGGGTTCATTTTAGTTGATTTAAGTGGGTGTTGCTACTATTTCAGCTGTCTAACCATTATTTTTAGATGAAGTAAGATAAACCATTTGACAACTATTTAAATTAACTACTTTAATCATTTTAACAAACTATTTAAACCATTACTTTTGGCTAACTTAAGCAATTTTTATTTAACTTAAGTGATCATTTATTTTCAAATTAGTGAGCAGCTACATTTGCAGGAGTACCCCCCTGCAGAACACGTGCCCCTGGTTAGGAACCACTGCCTTAAAATATGGTTAATTCAAATGAGCACAAGTGCTTCATTATCACAGATATTTGGTAGTGCAAGAGTACCCATGCAGGCCTGTTTCTATGGCCACCTACAAAACCATCACATCAGAGTGTTCATTCTCTGTATAACTTGATAACTGAAATGACTATGAACAGTCCCTTACAAGTTTGCTTTTCATTTGCACACGTTTTCTGTCTGGTTTCCTTGGCTGTTTCGGGACGTTACCGTAAGTCTACTAAGTGTGAGGTGTTTCATTGTTGTAGCTTGTCCCACTGGTGTTTGAAGACTAGGAGTCATTGTTTACCTGTGCATGTGTTGTATTCACTGAACATCTGTACTGTGCTAGGCTGACACTGTGTTTTGTGCTTGTCAAATGAAATTCCACATGGAATCCAGTTTGATTGAGGCTGTTGAAAAAGCTAAAAAATATGGTTTACCGCAAATATTTGCAGCAACAGTAGTAGGAAAATTACTCAAGGGTTTCCAGCATCTGATAATCTTCTATTTGGTGTCTCCTCTGCCGTCCAGCCATTCAAGGTTTCTCTCCCACGAGGAAGATTCGGAACTTTGAGGAGGCACGCGGGTTGGACAGGATAAACGAGAGGATGCCACCTCGCAAAGATGGCCAGCAGCAAGACAGCACCACAATCAACACCAACACCCCTAACAAGAATGGCACTGATGGATAGGCAACAGAAACACCACCCTCCCATCTTCACACAACCCACACCCCCTGACTCATAGCCCCCAGCCACTTTCTCTCTCTTTCTCTCTTTCTGTCTCTCTCTCCATCTGTCTCCTGTACTGAAACTGCCTGTCCATCTTCTGCTCACCCACAATCAGGCGGGGAAAGGAAGCGGACACAAACAAAAGAAGGCCACATCGCTGGGAAAAATCTTCCAGCTGCTGAAAAAAGACAAACATAGGATGTTATCTGGGAAAAAATCTAATCTTATTTATTAAAGATGAAATATATTAGATATATTGTGTAATAGCAACAAAGCATTGAATGAAGACATTTTGCAGTATACACAGTATAAAGTATACTGTACACTGAAGTCCTAACTTATACATGTCAAAGTTATTAAAAAAAAAAGAGAGAATTTTATAAATTTGAGTTGATACAGATAGATAAAGCCCTTGTTATCCAGGAGTTTTAGTCACTTTAAGGTTTTTTTATTTTATTATTGTTGTTCTCAATGTGTTTGGTAAGGGGGATTTGAAGTACAAATACTATAGCCTCAACAGCCTCGTTTGGATCTTGCAAGGTTCTTGTCAAGATATTTTAGGCACTTGGGGTTCTACATACAGTGCAGTGTTTGCTTATGTGTGTCAGCTGAAGGATAAATTATGTATGTATTGAGGCGAATTAAAAATAAGGGAAGTCAATTATATCAGAACAATTATTACAGATTAATATTTTCTACTTAAAGCAGGAGTTAAATGAAGACTTATAGTCTTATTTATACATTTTCCACAAAGCTTTGATTTTTGTTCAGTATTTTGTTCACTTCCAGAGTAACAATTCCTTCCTGTGTTATTTGTGAATGAAACGGTTCAAGTGAAGGATTAATGCTTTGTGTGCAATGATAGTTGCTGTTGCTGGCTGTTCTGTGCTGGTTATGATTTGTGTTCACTTGATGGCAACTAGGCGTTCTCGCTCCGCTAAACCAAATAAGGGACATACAGTGCAGCATGTCTTATTCTGTCACCACAATCACACCTGTGAGTACTCCCAACATCCCGGTTGGAAGCAATTCTTTCTTCTTCTCAAGCCCTGAATTTGAGCCGACCTCTCCGGAGGTTGAGCACTGTGCTTGAAGACTACGGCACGGGAAACCGACTGACGCTGAAGTTTTTCTCTTCAGGTGTCACTTTGGACAAAAGGGGACATGTTTGCTCAGAAAGCAGAGGAACTGCTGGCCATACTGTCCTCGAAACAGACTGTTGATGTTCATTATTGCTTAGGAAATTTCAGTGTATTTAACAGAATTATGGCAGTTTGATTTGATGTTTTATTGTCAACACTAAGAAATACGGGGTGTGCTTTTTGGGGGCTTTCCTTTGTTTCTAAAGCTGTGTTAGTGTCTCCATCTACTGTTGATTATACAGAATGCAGATGTTTTTTTTTTCTTGTTTTTTTTCGAAATTGTGATAACCGTGCGTATCAAATAAGGGAAACATTTGACATTCAGTGAAATGACAGCACAAAGTGCTGTACCCGGACACAATGGACTGAGTCATCCCCCTCAGCAGGGATGATACTATTAATGGTACCGCTGCCACACTAGCAGCTGTCTATCAAGGCCTAACAGTACTGTAATCATCTCAACCATGGCTGACTCATATATACAGTATATTATTTTTACAACTCCTGGTCATACTAAGATGAAGACCATTAACACTTGCTGAGATTGCTTGTGTGCGAATGTGTTCTGCTCTCAAGTATTCAGCTCTCTTTCTGGTCTCAGCACCTCCACTCCTCTTCACAGGCACTCCCAACCCTTTAAGACCTGCTTTTACACGACCAACTCAACTGGTGCTTCGACACACCTGACTGTAATTCTGTCGTCTTTGTTGCTCAAGAAAGGAAGGAAGGGAGGGGGGGTAAGCTTTAACATTTGCTATTTTCTTGTTAATATACCCTTTTTTTTTCTCTTGTCTTTTTTTTAAACTAGGCGTTTGCGCTCATGTGCCATGCCACCTCGGCCACACATGTCAAGATCTGTATGTGTGCGTGTGTGCATGGATGGTGAGCGGAGTCAAGCCAGGAGACTTTCAATCACACGATTAAAGATTAAATGTCGGTAATATTAATCTTGATATCCTTAAAATTTCCAAGATATTGTTGTTTGCCGTTATGTTCAGTAGACTTCTGGGGAAACTTCCTAAACAAAGTATTTCGGTTTACATTCATAACTGTGATGTCAAAATTTGTTTTAAAAGATAAGGCTTTATTGGGTGAGCCATACAGTATACTGACCTCCTGTTAGGTCCAATACATATCTCGCAGAATGTAAAAAATATTGCTCATCAAGAATCTTATAATAGCTGTAAAAAGGGGTAAAAAAATAAATAAAAATCTGTACCGTACTTGTCATGCGAGGCCATGAAATCTTTTATGTAGATGTATCACTTGAAAGAAAAGAATAAAATTCAAATACAGTGTTTTATTTGACTCGTCTTGGGTGTTGGTTCTTGTTATTTCACATAAAGCTGCAGATAGTACAATTTACTACAATAACTGATCATCTGTGAAAAAATCTGGTTCCTTTGATTCGTCTAGCATTTGCAAGAATCTGTTGGGCATGAACAAAAACAACCAATCAGAACCAAGAAAAATACTTAGTACTTATTCCCAGGTTGTTAAATGCCAATGCTTCAGGATCCAAAGTGTCTGTATTTGACCAAAAGCATCAGTATTTGATGACCTGGAAAGTAGACTAAAGGATCAACTATCTTTCTTTTCTTTCTTTTTAAATATAAAAGTTAAAAGCATTAAAGCTGCATCAGGTAACTTTAAACATTCGTGGCTCCAAAGGTTTGACGGCGTCTTTATAAGGTGATACTACTGTATGACAGTGTTCAGTTTACAGGCTGCTTCGCTGCCCCCAAGAGGACAAAACATACACAAAAATCTTGATGTAGCTTTAAAATAAGACACATTTTTTCATAGAACTATTTCTAAGTGCAGCTTTAAGATTTTGGGTGGAGTTTTGCACACAATTCATTTGTACAAAAAAAGTTTATTTGTCTGTTATTATTAATTTACATGAATATCAAAAACACATCATAGACATCCTGGCTTGCAGCTGCCCAGTACAACCCCAACCTCTTCACTAGGAAAGTCTGAGGTTAGTGCTTTGCTGGTAAAGTGGAGAGTAATAAGAGAGAGTAATATTCAGTCTAATCAAGATTACTACCAGCTGGGTTACGGCCTCCTACAGCACATGACAGGAACATAGTGTTCTGTTTTTTTCAGATACTGGCGTAGTTGAGACTTATGGTCACTGAAACCTTTGCTGCCTGGTGTCCTCGCTGCTCACTAGTTACAAGGTTTTGGTTAATAATGCCACAACATTTCAGCTGCAACATTTAAAAAAAAAAAAAAACACCATGTTCAGTACCGCTCGCAAGATATTTAATACATCATGTACCTGTTCACATAGTGAACTCACAGACAAGCAGCAAGTGTGCAAAATCTATTTACATACACCAAATTAGTATTAATAAGGTACAACCTACACTGTAAAAGGTATTGGTTAAATCTGTTTGACATTTTGTTTCATTGGAAATTACCTTGATATCGAACCTTTAGACAACATGCTGTACATTTATTTTAACACTGAATTATATCTATGTGTGTAAAATATGGTATATACACTTGAATGGCCAGCCTTTCCACTGTACCTGCTTTTAGTTGACCATTAAATATGAGCTCCTGAGCTCCTAAAAGTGCTCTAAAACCTGGCAGACCCGCTGTATCTTATAAACATAAACTACAAGTCACCAGCATTAATCTGGTCCTTTCTGGCATCCTCTCCTTTTACAGTATTTTTAATAAAGGCATTGCTGTGAGATTTCATTAAAACTACTATGTACATATTATATAACATTAGAGTGGCAGGGTAAACGCAGTCCTAATAATCAGCGTTTGTTTTGAGCAAGACATCAGCAAGAAAATTGGCCTGCACCAGCGTCAGATTCCTCTTGAAATCAGACAGAGGCGTTGGAAACACTACCGCTTTTGACCACAGGGGCCGCCAGAATCAACACAAAATGAAAGCTCTGCTTCAGTCAGAGCCGTTCAGTTTTGTTTTTGAGGGTTAAAAATTCAGTCTTGTGCAATATTCTGTAACATTACTGTGACAAAATAACATAACATGTAGAAAATGATATGGCTTACATTTAGGGCCAGAGCTCTTGTTGTGTTCATAGTTGTATGAACCCTATAGTGTAAAAAAGTGCCTTAAAAAACAAAAGGTTCATTCCTGTAATTACAAGTCCTCAGTGCATGGCAAGCAAGTAACAAACAAACAAACAGTCCACCACGCACTGCAGTGAAAAAGAGACTGCAGAGGGAACAGTTGTGTAATTAAAGCTGCTCTCTGCTTCTCTGGATTGCCAGCAGCCTCTCTCCAGGGACAGTGGACAAAGGCAAAGTCTCCCCAGGTTTACAGATAGGTGGCACTGTGTCAGACATCACACCTTTGGTGGAGGCACTGGCCTCAGAGCCTGGAGGACAAACCAAGAACAAATGCATTTGTTAACTACATATTAAGGAATAGTTGAAATAAGCTTACTAGCTTTCTTGCCTAGAGTTAGATGAGAAGATTGATACCACTCATGTCTGTATGCTAAATATGTACAGTCAGCAGCCTGTTAGCTTAGCTTAGCATAAAGATAGGAAGTAGTGGGAAAGAGCTAGCCTGGCCTTGTCCCAAGGTTTATTGTGTCATAATATGCCTATCAGCGCCTGTAAATCTCAATAATGAACACTATATCTAGTTTGTTTCATCCTGTTTCCAGTCTTGATGCTAAACGTAGCTAACTAGCTGCTGCCTGTAGCCTCACATTGAGCATTCAGATATGATAGTTCGAATCTAACTCGGCGTAAATAGGCGTTATTTCCCAAAATGTCCATGTGCATGTTTTATACCCAGCTGGGGTTTTTTTCCAGTCAAAACTAAGTGAAAAACTCAATTCTTGATGTTGTGATTAAATAATTTAGGATTATGGACACAGTCTTGTCATCCAGGATGATAGAGATCATTTTTCTTCTGTGGCTTTACCATTAGTAACTAACACATGGAAGAATAGACATCATAGCATCAGCTCTTCTTGCACTGTAGTTGGTTTGGACCAGTGGTTCTTAACCTCGGGTCCAGGGATCCCCAGAAGAATGGGGAATATTTTAATTTCACTATTTTGACTAAATGTTAGCCCAGTGAGAGAATGTATAAGAATGTTTCACACTCAAGAGGTTTCACACTCTTCACTGTTAATCTGCCAATCTACAATACAGACAGTTTTGGAATAACTAAATCTCATCAGATGGGGATTCCTGAGACTACATCTTATCAAATATCGGTCCTTGACATCAAAAAGGTTGCAAACCAACTGGTTTAGATTGAGTTGTCACACTTAGCAGATTGGTAGTTTACATGGAAGCAAACTGAGATTGAAATTATTCATCCCAGTTGGTGCCAGGTTGAATGGTATTATTCTTACCAGATTAAACTTTTCCTAGAGAGAAAGTTTAATACAGTGTCAGAGAACTATCATGAGCTGTGTGTAATGTGGCAGGTAAACACTTGAAAGGAATGGGAGTTACCTGGCGCGCAGCCATGTAGTTCTGGCTCGGGGGTTTAGGTCTGTTCCCTGCTGGAGGCGGTGGAGGTGGAGCTCCTTTGGGCTTTGGCCTTCCAACCTAAAAATGTAAGTATTGTTAGGAACTGTCTGAATAAGTTATATGACATATCTCAACTCGACACCTGTAATACTGTACATTCCAGCACATTACCTGTGGTACTGGTTTGGGTTGACTAGGAGCTGGCCCTTTGTTTATGTGGTGAGCGGATCGGCCCACGGCTGGCTGCTTCCTTTGGGTGTGTGCACTGTTACATAAAGAGAGATTTGATCTGCTGGCTCTAAATGCTTACACAAGTGAGTTTACATTAGCATAGCCACAACAAGACCTGCAACAGGGTGATAAAGACTTACAATGGCAACGTGGGGCTTTGACGTTTTTTCCAGATGAATCCAACCACACCAGCAATGATACCTGAGAGCACTAGTATGACTGCCAATGCGATGGCAACGGCTGCTCCTGCAGAAATGGAACAGACGTTTAGATGCAGCAGTGCAACATCGCTGATACAGACTGAATATATTAGCATCATACTGTATGTGTTTACCGACAACTGTAGGTAAGTCTTACCATTAGAAATGGACCCGAAAGATCCATCCTCCGAATCGCAGGAAGGAGGCATCCAACCAGGCTCACACTGACACTCACTCTTGTGATTGCACACCTGAAGAACACAAACGTCCTGTGATTATCAGATGTTTGGTTTAACGGCACCATGCAGTACCCTGTTAATTCACGGTGCAGTTTATGAATTCTTTTTCACAGTTTAGTTTACCAATAACTCACCTATTGCAATACTGTTTAAACTGCCTCTGCTTACACTTGATTAAGATATTTCCTTCACACAGAAGATTTGCTTGACTTGCTACATTCAGATCAAACACTCAGCTCTGCTCTTGCTCTTACTATTTCCAATATAAATATATACTTAACATGGGTTCTTTTACTTTTGTTACCTTAATATAGAGCCTGAACGATACATCAGTTGGCCGATGCTATCTATATGGTACCTCATATGGGTAAATAATGCAGAAAAAATGCTTGTGGTTATATATTGGTGTCACTGCAAAGTTTATCCAGCAGAGTGCTCTGTGATTTACAATACTGTGGCAAACTGGACAGAGACAGAAAAAGGTCAGTGACTTGCAGCTCTCACCAATGTCAGCTAGAATTGATTGATATTGTATTATTATTTAACATGTTAAAGGATAATTACCTTCAGTGTTTTTTAATAAAGTTAATCATTTAAGAAAGCAGTCTGCTGAGTACCTTTGCAGAGTTGTATCAGTGCAACAAGCTCAAACATTAACTATATTGGTCGCCATAATGGCAATCTGTAACTTCTAAAAGTGGTCTCACAAATCCCATATCGGCCGGGCTCTACCAAAATAACAAAATCATAAACTCTGAGTAGTGTTGGTATGTACTTACAGCATGGCCTGGGCATTTTGCTGAACAGTTTGTATTTCTGAAAGCTGTCTCAAGATCCACACACTCATTCTGGCTGCAAACCTAGAAAAAAACCCCAAAAAACAAGTCAGTGACAAACACATTGTTTACTTTAATGCACGTTGTAGATTTAGTGCTGCCACATTCAAACAGGTGGATGTTGAGGTGACATTGTGATGCAACTAGGAGTTACCCTACACACTTACCTTTCCGTCCCCACATTTGGTCCCAGCGTCCACCTGGCCGTAGTCAGTGGTGTAGTCACTGAAGAAAGCTGCCTTGCAGTCACCATACCTGACCATGCGGCCGTAGTTTGGGTTTTCTTGACTGCTGTGGCAGAAGAGCTTCCCACAATACAC